ATTTTTTGGGTTTTTCCGAGAAGACGCCCGTTTAAATACTTACATTAATTATTTCACAGTAATACGTCTCTAAGATTTCGATATCAATCTACAGTACAGAATAAATGGATAATTCACTTTGTTTACCAGTACTCTCTAATTACATCAAATGATATGAAATTCTTTGCTACGCTACCACCTGAAAAAACAAATATCATTCATTACTAAGAATTCGCCAAAAGTACAGCTTAAATTCCAATTCTCTTGACAAACATTGTGTGCACATGATAAATAGCCAGAGAGAAACAAAACTCTTGCCCTGTCTGTAACGTAATTCAGTCTTCCTTCCACCAGTGAAATCATCTAAACTTGCCCTGCCTAAAGCTAAATCAATACTGATTCCATCTCGGTTTTTGCTCGGTCTGTCTATCTATCTATCTTTCCATCAAGACCACCATCATCACCATCACCACTAGTTCCATTCAGTCCAGTTCAGCCCAGTCGGAAGGAATATAGAGAGTAGGAAGAAAAAACCCATCACGGCCGCATTTCTAATCTTGCCATCTCGCCAGACAGAGACAGTATCGTGTGTCTCCCACTAAAAATAAAAAATACACACGTCTGCCCACCGAGCCTAAACCACATCGATATCATTAAGTTCCTGCCTAAGCAAGATGAAATACTCTGCCTAACTCTCCCACCGTCGGCCTTGCTAGCGGGACCGAAATAAAATTTAAAACTTTTTCCACGACGAAAAATTCGTTGTTTCGCTTCGTTTCGTCTTCCATTTTCGTTTTTCTCGTCTCTTCTTCCTTCTCTTCGGACTGTTGTCGACGAAAAAGAAAAAATTGCGAAGAGTTCGAATTTTTCAAAGCTCATCGTCCATCGAACTGCAGTTTGAAAAATTAACAGATGTAGTTAATATTTGTTAAAATTACATTAAGAATAAGATATTGTTATATTAATTAATTCATATTTTGGTGTATCATACCTATCTGGATTGGCTATAATACTGTTTGCTTGAATATAGGAAACATAAGAGAAGTTCTTTTTTGTTTTTTTCGTAATTTTTTAATTAATCAATTAAAAAAGAATAGAAAAGAACATTAAATTAATTTCATATAGAAGAGAGGACACATTTTCTTTTGTATCTCTTTCCCAAGTAGAAGAAGGATAATTTGATTCGTTGAAATTCTATTCTATAAATATTTGGATTTGAGAATAATAATACTCAAACTAATTTCTCACAGTTGACACTATTAATTTCGATTGAAAGAATTGCATTTTGAAAAGAATCATTAACGATGGGTAGTGTTAAGAGACCATCTTCCGAATTGGTCAACGACTATTCTAATGGGAATACTAAACTTAAGAAGGTTATTGATGATGGAAATAAATTAGAAGTTGAATCCAATTCTGAGAAGGATCAAGAAAAGGAAAATGAGGATGACAATGAAGATTTTGACAACGACGACGACGATGATGATGATGAGGATTCTGATGATGATGATATAAAAACAAATAAAGGAAAAAGTGCATCTACTACAGCTAATGATATTCATATTGCTAGAGAAACAGCAGAATTGTTTAAATCAAATATTTTCAAGTTACAAATCGATGAATTACTAGAACAAGTTAAATTAAAAGAATCTCATGTTCTAAAAGTTGAAAAATTTTTACATAAACTTTATGATATGATTCAATTGGTGCCTGAATGGGAGGAAAAATCATTAATTGAAGTAGATACTTTTTTTAAAGATAAAATAGTCACAGTTCCATTTGTAGATCCAAAACCATTACCAAGTACAACAAAATATAAATTTAACTATAAAGTACCATCCGTCTCTTTGATAGGTTCATTTGCATTAAAAGCGGGTATTTACCAACCTCAAGGTTCCGCTATTGACGTTCTTTTAACTATGCCAGAAGATTTATTCGAAAAGAAAGATTTCTTGAATTTTAGATGCTTGCATAAAAGAAGCGTCTATTTGGCTTATTTAACACATCATTTATCAATCATGTTAAAAAAGGATAATTTAGATTCTTTCATAAAATTGGAATATTCATATTTAAATAATGATCCATTATTGCCTATATTAAAATTATACTGTGAAAAATTAAACGAATCGAAATCAAACAGTTCTGACTATAATTTCTACAAGACTAAGTTTTCCATTAATTTGATTGTAGGTTTCCCATATGGATTATTTGATCCAAAAAAATTATTACCAAACAGAAATAATATTAGGGTAACAGTGGAAAATAAAGAACACATCTTACCATCTACTCCATTGTACAACTTCTCGGTATTATCATCATCAACACATGAACATTTTTTGAAGTTCTTATATAAAACAAAAAAGCAAACTGAATCGTTCAATGAAGCTTGTATATTAGGTAGAATCTGGTTGCAACAACGTGGTTTCTCTTCGAAACTAGCCCACTCAGGAACATTAGGTGGATTCGGGACATTCGAATTCAGTATTTTAATGGCAGCATTACTGAATGGTGGTGGTTTGAATGGTAATAGAATTATTTTGCATGGTTTTTCATCATATCAATTGTTCAAAGGTGTAGTGAAATATTTGGCAACAATGGATATCTGTTCAGATGGTTACCTCCAATTTCATTCTGACACCGAATCCAAGTCAAGCTCTAAATACGTCAATGAACGTTTCCAAATCCCAACATTATTTGATAAAGTTACCAAAGTAAATATTTTAAACAAAATGACAGTCTCATCATATGAAATACTAAAGGCCTATGCTAAAGAAACAATGATTATGTTGAATAATGTCGTTCAAGATCAATTTTCGAATATTTTTTTAACTAATATTAACAGATTGGATAATATAAAGTTTGACCTATGTTATAATATTAGCATCGCATCAGGTAACAGTAATGTAATCTCGCAATTAATTTCTAATTTTGGCTCTCTAGAGAGAGTTAAATTTATCACCCTAGAGAACTATTTAGTGCATAAAATTTCAAGTATTGTTAAATTTGGGTTAGGTGACAGAATAAAATTAATTGAAGTAGAACTGGTTGGTCAGAAATTTACATTTCCAGTAAGTAAAAGAAAGGTTATCCTAAACAGTAGTAAAAACTTAAACTTTGAATGCATCAAAGTAAAGTTAATTACGAATGGTTCAGAAAGTGAAAAATTAGTTACTAAGGGCCCAGCCCATTCTGAGGAACCAACAACTGAAGCAGTAGCGTTTAAAAGTTTCTGGGATACTAAATCGTCCTTGCGTCGTTTCAAAGATGGTTCGATTACTCATTGTTGTATCTGGACTACCTCATCTTCCGAACCAATTATTTCAACTATCATGAACTTCATTTTGAAAAAACATATTGCTGATGGTTTACAAGTCACCAATGATATTACAAAAGAATTCCAAAATCTATTACCGTTACCAAATCTTCCATCAAGTTCAAAGACTTCAGTTTTGAATCTTTCTAGTTTCTATAACCTAAAGAAGTCTTTTGACGAATTGTACAAGATTATTTTCAAAATGGATTTGCCATTATCAGTCAAATCTATTCAGCCGGTAGGCACTTCTTTCAGATACACTTCAATGTGTCAACCGGTACCTTTTGCATATTCAGATCCTGATTTTTTTCAAGAAGTAATTTTAGAGTTTGAAACTTCCCAAAAGTGGCCAGACGAAATTTCATCTCTTGAAAAGTCAAAAACTGCATTTTTATTAAAGATTCAAGAACAAATAACCACAAGCACAGGAGGTAGATACAAATCATTTTTCAATCGTGATGAATCAATTCCATACAATTTAGAAATTGTCACTTTGAGTATTCTAACTCCAGAGGGGTATGGTTTCAAATTTAGAGTTTTAACAGAACGTGATGAAGTATTATATTTAAGAGCAATTTCTAATGCTAGGAATGAAATTAAACCAGAGCTAGAGAAGACATTTTTAAAATTTGTAGCAAAATATCAAGCTTCCACCAGACATACAAGAACAATTGAAAATTTGTCTCATTCATATGAATATTACTCTCCTGTCGTCAGATTATTTAAAAAATGGTTAGATGCACATCTGCTACTAGGTCATTTGAATGACGAATTAGTCGAATTAATTGCAATGAAGCCTTTTGTTGATCGTGCTCCTTACTTTATTCCTGGTTCTGTAGAAAACGGATTTTTGAAATTGATCAAATATTTAAGTCAATGGAATTGGAAAGAAGATCCTCTGATTTTAGATTTGATTAAACCTGAAGAAGACATAGAAGACGCATTCGAAACCAGTATAGGCGCAAATTCAGAAGTTGATTCAAAGACTTTGAAGAAATTATCCGAAAAATTGACATTAGCTCATTATAAAGGCATTCAATCAAATTTCAACAATATGAGAAATGGTGATCCAAATGGGTTAGCTGTACAATTTTTCGTAGCCTCAAAAATTGATCCAAGTGGTATTATGTATTCTAGTGATGTTCCATTGCCAATTGCTACAAGAATAACAGCTTTAGCTAAGGTGGCATTAGGTTTGATTCAAGAGCATGGTTTAAACAAACAAACAATTAAATTGTTATTTACACCTGCAGTTAAAGATTATGATTTTGTCGTTCACTTGAAAACCCATGTGCCGTTAAAAAGTTCATGTGGTATTATTGAACCAACTGAATTTAAGAACTTGTCAAATGACAACGCTTCTCAATTCCCAAAGAATCTAGACAAATTGAGCGAGAAAATGGACCCTACCTATCAATTAGTAAAATATTTGAACATGAAATACAAGAATACATTAATTTTTTCAAGTCACAGGTATATTGGTGTTAATGGTGGCGATAAAGGTGACAGGAATGTGATCACAGGTTTGATAAAGCCACTATACAAGAAAGCACAAAAATTTAAGGTTACAATGAATGCCAATGTTAAACCAATTGATAAGGAAAACGTAACTATGAACAAAGCTTCAATTTTCCATGAAATTGCTGCTTTTGGTAATGATTTAGCTGTTGATTTTGAAACTTGATATTAACTCTTTTATAGACTTACGTTGATATTTTTTTATAAATAATTAATGACTAATATTTAATAGATTTGTAATTTACGAGTGTAAACTATATAACAAAAAATCATTTCTTAGGTTTTTTAAGTTTTTGTCAGTGTAATAAGGATTAAAATGAATTTAAGTAAAGAAGTGTGAATCGTGTAATATATAAAATAAAAGCTAATTTTTTTTAGTACTTTATTAATCATAAAATATTCTGTAAAACCTTGTTACAACTGGATTTATAAGTTAATATACTCGTGTATTGATTCTTTTCTATACACTACCTTTGGCAAAAGTGTCATCTTAAGTATGTAGTAGTCATCTCTTGTTAATTTTAAGTAATCACGTGAGGCCTTATTCCATACGAAATTAGTAGGATATCCAATAGTTCAGCTAATGAAATTTAACCGCACTATGCAGAAAAAGAAGTATAGTTTAAAGGATAATAAGATGTACTTTAAGATGATTTCTTTCTCAGATTTGATTATAAATTGTGACAAAAACACAACTATTATTACTATTGGAGAATACATGCATTGCTCGTAGATGGTTCTATCGTTAATTTAGTTTATTTTAAAAATAGAGCAAGTTTGATCATAATATGAACACACCTCTGAATACGAGACCTTCAGGGCACAGAAATGATCATGTATACAAATTAAGAAAAAGGAATTTCCAAAGAAGATTATCAACTCAACTCTGTTATCTTGGATATATGACAATAATTTTACAATATATTAAGTATGGGTCTAATGTACTGACTTTGGGCTTCAGATGTCTTCTTCAATCGATACTATCATCGCCATTTCCTAGCGACATTCAATTGGAACGTATTGCAAGAAATAACAATCTATCAAGAATTCCATATGTTGGTGACACTACAGCTCAATTTAGAGTATCATCAGAAATGACAAATATACCAGGTGCATTTACGCCCACGGAGTCCATAGAAGAAATGCAGAATATAGATAGACAGTCTGCAATTAATTCTTTAAAACTTAAGGCAAGAAAAATACTATTTCATGGTGCTCTAACAGTAAATACTATCTTAATATTACTTGATCTTTTGTTTCCAAAAGATTTTGTTGGCCAATTTGAAGGTAATAACTTGAGAGACGGCTCGTTACAAAATGCATCATCCCCTTTTATTAATGGCAATGGTCTTCTACAAGGTGAATATAAAGGTGGATTCTTTTTACAAATAGTTGGAGAATTAGTACCGAAGACTAATTTAGAAGGAAATTTGGGAATGATATTTACAGATTTTCTAATATTGGCATTGCAATATGGATTGTTCATTTTGGGTTGTATCAATTTTACCAAGTTAGATAATATTGAACTTGATCAAAATGAAGAGCTTATTGCTCAAAAGTTGGATGAAAATAGTGATGGTTATGACGGGAATGTTTTGGTGACAATAATAGACCCAATTAAGGCAATAGATAGGGTATTGATAATAGATGATACAGAAAATGGCGAAATAAATAGCGTTGTTTAGTTTTAAAGGGATTTTGTATTCAAATAAATATTAAGTAATTAATTTTGATCCTATAAGGAAATGAATTTGAATTTAGTACTATGTGTGTTGTGCAAAATTATATGTAATGACCAACTATCTATATTTGTATATAAATATATTACTTGAAAGACTATAAAAAGTACCACAGTATCGTCTGTATTGTTGTTTTTTTCAGTTGTAAATTAATCCTATTATTGACTAATTGGTGAGTTTTTCAAATATTCAGCTTTATTCTTCAAGATTTTAACTGATTTTAAGAAAATTTCTTCCGCTGACATAGCACCGACAGTCTCTATATTAAAGATGAAATGGTTTCTAACTCTATCAAGTTTTACTTTATCCTGGAATTCCTCATGTCTCAATACTTCTCTCGTCATTGTATCCTTTCTAGCATCTTTAACATATGCTTCATCGTTTTCGTTAATGTCAATTACACCTGGAGGGAAACATTTTTGGAATCTCTTAGCAGATTCACCTTTAATTTTTTCTGTGATGATGATTTTTGGCATTAATCTATATGAGGCTGTACAAACTGGGGAGAATTTGGCATGATCAGCACCAATACCTAATATACAATGAGCTCTTAAAGAAATTTCCTGACCTGGTCTCAATTTTGCTATTAAAATATCTGGATCAGCAGAGACAACAGGGCTGTCAGCAAATGTTTCTTCTTGTTTGCCTTGTGGTTCGAATTTCAAATCACGGGCATATATGTGTGCATTGTGATATAATATGCTTGGATCAGTACAGTCCTTTGGAGCATCTAAATTTCTTGTACATTTGACATTTAGAGATAAGACAATAGTGTTTTCATCAGTAAATTTTTCATCTTCTGGTAGGTCATTATTTAACCAAGTCAATCTATCAGGGTCTACCTTTAATGGGATTAAACCAATTCTTTGAGCGATAACTTCATCTTGGATAACTGAAGTATTATTTAAAATATAGATGTATTCTGCTGCAACGGATGGTACTTCAGAAATCATAATTCTACGTAATGCATTTGCAATTGAAGTATCGACATTAATCAAATCTAAGTTTGTTTCTCTTTCACCTACTTTAGAAATGTTAATTTCTAAATTTTCTCTAAATTTGTTTGCATCCCAGATGTTATCACCTTGTGAGATGTTAAGAATAGTTGAATCGACAGACATTATTGTAGGTATTCACGGTACGGTACGATTTTACTCTTGTTAATGTATGGTATAGATATATTCAACAAATTTAAACTCTAGAGGTTACAATTACGATATTTTTTTTTTATCTCATCTCATCTCATCTCATCGATAAAAATTTATTAATACAGATAGACAATATGAAATTTTTTGATCATTTACTGCGTAAGAAGGAAAAAAGAAAGAAAGAAAAAATAAGCGTGCAAGATCTGGCAAGTGCATAGAATTAACTATGTACAAATGAAAGTTTATTGATGAAGTTAAGAAAAGATGAATTCCACATGATTAGATCTCATTGATAATTCTATACAGACTAACATCTTATATATGAAATCAAATTATGAATTAAGATATTATTAGTCAAGAGTATCATTAAATAATTAACTCCTTTCCAATAAAGAGAAGAAATTTTGTAGTAAGAAAAATCAGCCATTGAATAAGTTACATCATAAGATTGACATTTGCATCAATCGTCAGATAATGTAGATAAGTAAAAATTGTAATAGCTCATCATTTTTTTTCCTAAAAGGTTTTATCTAACTATATTTTGAGAGATCATCGAAATAACATCTTTATCAATTAATGTAAAATTGGTCATTGAAAATGACCAATTTCAAATTCCCCTATAAATTCTAAAAAGGAGATACAAAAGAAATAAGAAATTGAAATAAATTATTATTTTAGCATTCAACAACTGTTCAATACCAATATATTCCCGTATTGTTCTTTGCTTTCTTCATTCCTTTGCTTGTCCCCCCCCCCAATTAGATGAGTTCCAAACATCATATATACAACTATGATAAGCTGCAATGGTTATTGGATTACACTCTAATGAATAAGAAGACTATCCAGACCTGCACAAACAAGATCTTTCCTATATGTGTGTTTTACGTCCATCTCATCTTTTTGGCATTTCGACCTTTTCATCTTTCTTTTATATATACAAATTCTGTGGTTTAATTTCGAGATCTGTCGAAGAGGAAAGAGGCAAAAAACCAAAAAAAAAAAGAAAAAAGGAAAAAAATTGTGTATCGTTTCTTTTTTCTTTTTTCAGACAAAGTTCATTTCGAGGAAAAAAGAAACAACATGATGTTTTTTATATCATTGTACACGATCATTCGGGTTTTCCCTTCTGTGTTTGTCTAGTTTTGGGTTTCACTCGCGTTGTTGATGTAAAAATTAACATGATCGGAGGAAGCTATTGTCCGACAGCAACCCATCCAACCATCGTACTCTCTTTGGTGAACTTTTTTGGTTTAAATGTTCGAAATTGGTGTGGTGTACCATTCTAATCTCAAAGCATCACCAATTTTATATTTATCATTTTACACACATACTGTTATGCTTGAATACTGAACCAAATTAAACTAAACTAAACTAAACTAACCTAAACTAGACTAAGTCACTACAAAATTTAACAATATAAGAACATCTTTGATACATATATGCATTGATACTAAACAGCACTATCCAAGGATTATGCCTATCAACTCGCATCCAGATATCTCTCTCTATATATATGTGTGTAAATACGTAATTTGAATATTCAACAAAACGGAATTGCTACTGTCGTTTCCGTCATCAGCAAAATAGCTATATCATACAACTAACTATGGTTGCTATTGTCTAATAATTATTGATTATTGATTATTACATTGATTGACTCGACTCATACCAAATGAATTGCTATATTAGTTATAATTAACTAATAAATTGAATAAATTAAAAGTGTATAATCTAATCTAATCTAATCCAATCCAATCCCCCCCAGTCTTAGTACCTTCTTCTTAATTAAATATTACTGGCACTTCACCTTGAATACAAATTATCATTGTAGTTATTGTCATATCATGTCGTGTCTTGCTTGACTTTCTTTTTTTTCACATAATTTTTTTCAGTTTAATGTTGTGTGGTTCATATTGTTCCTTTTTTATAGTGTCTTTCTCAATTATTTCACTGAAAGTTTCGTTCTTTTCCATCCATTTTCCTTCTTGGTTACTCTTTTCCCAAGTTACGTATGTCAACTTGCTTCTTCTCCTTTTTCATAGTCCTTTTCAGTAAGTATCAAATTCTGGGTTATATTTTTTTTGCTGATAAAGTTTCATTATTTACTAAGCACACTTTTTAAGTAAATTGATTTATTTGAACTATTACAGTTGATTTATGATCTGAACAATTTTATAATTGTATTTATTATTCTTTAATCTTATAACATAATCTTTAATTGTTACTTCGAAAATTATACTAGCTTTTATCTGTATTGATGGTAATAATTATAATTCTATAATACAATATAAAATAATATATCACACAATATATCAGCTGTGCAGTTATTGTTTGCTATTTGGTGTTGGTGGGCGTGTATTATTCTATTTTGAAATATTTATATATATAATCTGTGGTTCCTAACTTATAAGGTACTATTATTTTCATTACGCTTGGTGAGGTATTCGACATTTAGACCTGTTAAGTTTCAAAGTTGGTAAAATTAATCGATTATTGATTTCTTTTGCCGTTCCTAGTTCGAACAAGTTGGAAGTAATAACTTTACATTGGAACTGATTTTGATCCTTTCATTACTGTATTATATCACTACGTTTTATATCTATTATTCTGATTTAATTTCACTTTATCAAAGTATTGTTTCCTAATTAACCAAAGTTAGGCAAATACTAAATTTTATTAATTGAATATATTCCACATAATAATAATAATAATAATAATAATTAATAGCTGTAGTAACAGATTGTTGCTGCAAAAGGAAAATTAATATATTGCATCTTTAACTATGAACAATTTTATAACACAAGTTTCCCAGGATAGTGCAGCAAGCACAAACCTATTCATTAGTGCCACTGATGAATATCAACAAAACAGAAGTGATTCTGCATTGGACTTAACTGACTTAGAAGATAGTGGAAATGCATTGATACATTTAAATATTCAAGAACAACATTATTATATAACTAGAGATCAATTGATGTCATTACCAGAATCAATATTACTATATCTTTTTCCAGCAGGTGTGTTCCTAGATAAAATGGGTGAAATAATTACAAATTTAACACCAGATGACGAAGTATATGTTTCTGACTTTCCTTCAAGCTGTTTTGAATATATCATGGACGTTTATACAAGAGCCTATGATGATTTTACAAACTTCCCTGTTGATAAAACTTATGGCATTTCAAAAGATTCATCATTAACTTCTGTTGCAAAGGGTTTCTTCGGTTTTGGTAATAATTCAGCAAATGTTGAGAAAGAATTGCTACATAATAAACCTGTGGTTATAGTATTAAGAGAAGATTTAGATTATTATTGTATTCCAAAAGATGCAATTTTTCAATACCAGGGCATTTTCCAAACTTCTGATGAAGATTGTACTGAAAAAAATGAAGAATTATTTACCAATTTCATGACAGAGATTAAAATTGCTGCAGGCAGCTATTTGAGTTCTCAGGATTCTGTTTTTGGGGGTTTATCTCAGTCAAATAGAAGTAGATCTGGTAAAGATGAAAAGAAAGCTTCTGATAAAAAGATTGGTACTGCTGAACAACATTTGAAAGAGATGTTGTGCTCCTCTGGTTTTTCAGATGAGTCTAAGTGGAATAATAGGGTCCAAGATCCTAAGAAAACTGTTATCACTTCATTAAGCTTATGTAGATTAGCCAATGAAACAACTGAAGAGTTCAGAAAGAATTATTTTGAAGCTAAAAAAAAATGGGAAGCTGAATGGCTACGTCATAAATCTTCTCAAGAGAGTATTTCTAGGAGTAGAGTTTCATTATCGAGAAGTATATCACATAACAATATGAATAAAAAAAGTTCTTCAAGTTTATTAAATAGTGAAGGTAATGGTAACTCCAGTGATAGTCTTAACAAGAGTGATCATATTAATCCTAATATTAGTGGTAGTGACTTGAAGAAAGGTAGATTTTCTTCTATATCAGCAAGCAGTAGTCATCCGAACTTATCATCAGAATCTACTGATAAATTGTCACAGCCGCCATCGATTAGGAAGTCGAGGTTTTCTAGGTTAGCAGGGAATGTGAGGTCAAGATCAAGTTCTAAAAACAGACCAAGTGGTAAAAGTGAAATTCCCAAGTTATATGATTTAGTTCCTAAGCCAGCGATTAATACGAAACTATTATTATTTTGGAGGAAACCAGCTAGAAAGTGTTGGTGGAGTGAAGAGACCATTACATTAAATGTTAAAATACATGGTAAAATTGTTGAGAATGGGGGAAATAATTTAATTAGCCTAGAAGATGGGAATTCAACAGATGGTGGAAATGATCCAGATGGATTGACAATTCCTGTAAAATTACATATCAGAAGAGTGTGGACATTGGAATTGAGTGTAATTGGTGCTTAATTGAGTCAACAATTGCAAATTAAAAACTGTTGAATAAGAAATAGAATAAGGTGGTTGCAATATTTATTTTTTTCATGTATATTTGTATGTGGTCCAAACGAAACTCAAATAAGGATCCTATTAGAACTATTAAGAAAGAAAAGAGAGAGAGTGTGTGTGTGTGTGAGATGAAAAGAATTCAACAAAAAAATGGTAGAACTACTCGTAAACCAAAATTCAAAATTATAAATAGATCAAAGGTTTCTTGATCATTAACAATGGAATTTATTTTCGAAGATTCTTGTTTTGATCGATTTTCAGAATACCTCAAATTTCGAAATTGGCAATTTATATATAGACTCTATACCAATGTGCATAGACAAATATCAACAAAAATATGATGCACAGATGAAGCAAAGAACGAATAAAAAGAACAATAACAATTTTAATTACAACTACAAAATAATTACATAGACAATAGATAGATTTTAACATGTATTATTACAATTGATCTAGTTATCAGATTCTATTATTACAGTAATAGTAAAGATAATCACAGCGAACAAAATCCGATAAACGAACGTGAGACGAACGTAAGACGAACAAGAAACGATCGAACAGGAGTGATGGATGATTCATTGAAATTGAGGTTAAAGGTGACTCCTCTTGTTGTATGTAATACAGCAATAATAACATTAAGTTCGATAAAAATCAGAGCAATGGCAATACATACTGTTCAAAATATTGATGTTTAATGTTAAATAACAATATTAATTTCACACATCGTCATTTTGGTTACAAAAACATTCCAATAAGAAGAAGCAGTAAGGTGTATAACAAAAAAAAAATTAATGTGATATATGGCTGTAAGAGGGACAAGTGGGGAGAGGGTGATTAAGAAGAGAAAACATGGAAAGATGATAATAGAAAGAGATAATGTTATATTATATTGTAAGGTAATGTAATGTAATGATTGGATTTTAAGTTTGTAGATAGATCGACATTTATTTGGTCCAAATGTATTTATCCCTTCCCTTCCCTTCCCTTCCCTTAAAGGAGAGAAAATAAGAATCAACCCTCTTTAGCTTAGGTCACATCATCTCTTGAAACCACGACTGGTTAATTATATGTGTATTTAACCCACTCCATGAGTCGCAAGGTCTAAAGCTCTTGAAGGATTCTACTTCATTGATTGACAAAATAAACTTTGAAATTTTACATCAAGAGTAGAAATCAACGTGAACACTCAGCTTGAACTTAAAAGTGCGAGAGTAACTTTAAGGATAGAAATGACTTGTAACTGTTCCAAAAAGAAACACTGACTAGGGGATGAAGGTTGAGCGATTTTAATAGTTGATGGCTCCAAGAAAGATATCCAAACTGTGTATCAATTGTTATGGAAATAGTATTTTATTTTATTTTATTTTATTTTATTTCAATTTTATATTTTTTACAGTAATGCTGGTGTATCCTTTTCTTCATGTACTAGATGATAAAGGTAGTGCTTGCTAGTTGAGAAGAATAAGATAGATGAGACCAAAAAAAATAATTAAATTTGAAAATGTGTCACAAGAAATTGAGGGTGGAGTCGTCCAAGTATCTCTTGACTACTTGATAATTTGTATTGTAAGTTGTTACTGCTGCTACCTTTTAAATTGTATTACCTGAATTGAGACTTTGATGAGTTAACTGTAAATTGTAAATTACAAACCAGATATAGTTATTCTAGATTGATGGTGGTAGAGATGAGGAGGAGGGGTTGGTGGGTGAGTGGGGGAGAGTGTGAGAGTCCAAATGTTTGGTGGTGGTGGTGGTGATTGTGAGAATTTAGTGTAAAGTAAATAAAAATCACAATATTATAATTAGTTACTTTAAATTTTTCATTTCCTTGTACTCTCTATTACTCTCCTATCTCAACTTGGAAATGTCATTAAATTAGGTGGGTAGATGGGGTCAGATGAACATGGAGTACAAGTATCGGTCTGTATGTGATAAATGGATATTTTGGTTAGTTAATTGTTGTTGTTGTTGTTGTTGTTGTTGTTTAGTGTTTCAATTTTGTTTTTTTATTTTTTTTTATTTCTTACCCTTTCGAATTGTTAAAATAGCGTATGTAGTCTCTACTACAATTCCCCTTTTTATTTCATTTTATCTGTTTTTACAGATGTTGTAAAATGTAAATTATACACAGAAATACATACATACATACATACATACATACATCAAATCTTTGTAAATTTTCCCTTCATTAACTTCCTCCCACATTAAAACTCTTTAACTTGACTTGATTTGACTTGACTTGGCTTGATTTGATTTTAGCTTGATTTAACATAATTTATCCACTGTTTCCTGACGTTCATTCGCAGACAATCTATGTGGTGGATAGTATCGAACCTAATTTCATCATCTCTTTCTTCCTTTCTTATCTCTCTATGTTCTACGTAATTATTTTCTTATCCAAGTAGTTATCATCGTCTTCCTCATCATCATCATATTTTTCACTACTATTACTCTGATCAAATGCGAATTGTAAAATTACATTCCTTTACAATTTAAATGTACTTGCTACTACTGCTGTTGCTACTTCAAGACTTAGTGAATAAGGTAAGGTTAGCCCATCTTCTTTAAGTTCATTGCAAGAAATTTAAAGCAAAAGTCATCTGAGACTGAACAATCAAGTAAAGTTAAGCAAAGCAAAAAAAAAAATTTAAAATTTGACTTCCATTAGGTTTTAAAATCGTTTATCTCGTTCGTATATAAATGAAGCAAAATCGATGGGTTTCTTTGAATTACAAACTGACAAGATATTGTATCGGTAATTGTTATAGCTATTCTTTTTATTGTAATTATTTGTTATAATTATTTTTTTTTTAGACTACATACTATATCAGTATTAGAATCGACTGAAAATTACTAGTAGTACTATTAAGTAGATCAGGTTTAAAGATTTGTATATATTTGACTATACTTATAATTGAAAAGATAATATATCCATACGTTGGAAGGAATAGTTGATCAATTGTTCATTATAATTTGCTGATCTCGTTGGTAAGGAATTTAGAGTATTGTTGTTATCGAGAAATAAGCCAAGAAACTAATTTTGATTTGTACTTGATTTTTTTTTGAAAGACTCATTGTTAGACCCAATATTTTTTTTAAAAAAAAACAGTTTATTGAATCATATTTAATCACTAGAATTACATATTGGTGTAGAATTACTTACTTCTATTGAATTGTTTTATATTTGTCTCTTTTTTTTAAAAAAAAAGCAGGAAACCCTTTGTTAAATTAATCAAATAATGCTAATGAATGATATGGTAGATCAAGTTTGGGCTGTTACCAAATTTTTTTTCACAATATATCAATATTGTTGTTATACTCTGATCGTAGCGTTATCTGGTCCTTTATTGTCACTATATTTAGCAGACTTTGTCCTATACGCTTTCAGGCTATCATGGTATTTAATAGCTAAAAGCATGATTCATCATAAGAAGGTTGAAGCAGGAATGAGAAAGGTTCCTCTAGTACAAATTGAAAAAAAGCATGATGGTATTGTAAAAAAAGAAGACGACACTATCAAGGAAGAAGAAGAAGAAGAACATGAAAGGAATGAAGTCGATGATGGGAAAGATAATCATGCAATTGATAAAGATTACGTAATGACAAGTGTTGATGAAGGCAATGACAGTGACTCTTCCACCACTCCTGTAACTACTACCAGAAGTGATATGGATATTAAAGAACTATCAAAGGTCTCTGAAAAAAATCCAAGCACTCCATCAATTTCTAATTCGACTACCAGTGTTGAAACCAATGGTACAGGACGTTCATATTCGTTAAGAGAATTATTCTTAGGCTCAAAAGGTAATACTACTGCTACTGAAAATAAAGAGGAAACTTTGATAAAAAGAAGACATTCTGTAAGTGAAAGTAGTACTACCACTACTACTACCACATCAACTACCACTACTACTACAGCTGGAACCAAAAGTGTAACGATATCGCTGGCTCGATCTGAATTACAAACACACATGCATTCAAGTAACTAAAGGATAAAGTCATAGTTATTATTTTTTGAGAATTTTTCCATATATATCATAATAAATCAATTCAACTAGCATATTTCGATCTTTACTACGAAGTAACTAATTCGAAGATTTCAAAATTTTACATACATTTTACTTTGCTTTAATTCAGTGTTTTATTTATTTTTTTGGTGTTAATTTAGTACTAACCCAAATTTGCTAATAATTATTATGTAATTGATATTCATTTATAACATATATATATTTAGATTTAAAATAGACACTAAAATCCCTTATTATTTATTTGATGGCTTATCCAACTTTAGTTTAAATTCAGCAACTCTCATCATCACATCATTATCATTCGGTATTATATTCATGACTGCTACTAAGATATGACTTCATCAAATTTCCTTGATTTGACGAAGGATGAAACTTAGCCAGATATAAATGTAAGTATGAAATAAGAACAACCCTAGATAAGTTCTTATGATTTTTAGAATATAATTACATCAAGCTAGAATAACTTTAATAATATTTAGTAAACAGATAAACAGAAAAATAAAATTGTATGCTCAATTACATTTATTACTATAATAATTAAACAGTTATATATTATATTATTAGGAAATGTTTTGTTAAAAATTAAATATTAAAAATTAGATTTGAAAAGAATTTATATACTCAATCAATTTCACTATTGGAAGTAATAACTTATGAACTGAATTGAGATGGGTTGTAATAACAGATGTTAATTTTATATTAACAAAAAAAAACCATTGGCAATGCAAAACAACATTCAGAACACTTTTCTTTTGTAATTCAAATTATAAATGTAGTAAATAAATCATTGTGATATAATTTATTCTTATTGTTCAATAGATAAAAAGGATATTAATTAATCAATAAACCAATAGCTTATATCTAATCTTGCAAGATGATGTACAAAGCGTACAACATACCTGGGAAGAAGATACAGATAGTTAAGACTAAATCGATGATACATTCTCTACCCCAACCTCTGGCTAAGTAGACAGAGACAGGTGGTAAGAATAAAGCTAAAATAATGTTAATGACCTTGGAGCTATCCATTTTTTATAATAAAGTTGTGTTGTAGTTGTTGTTTGATATGTTTTCTATATATTAAACTGAAGTGTAATAAGAATAAGAAGGGAAATAATTGAGAAATAAAGATTAATAAAAGTAACTTTACAATTAAACAAGAATTCCTATAACATTAATTCGAAATGAGCAAAAAATGAACGTGCTTAAATATAAATTCTACCATTCTGAACAAGTTTAAAATATTAGGATTAAGTTCTTCCCTTTTATAACTTTTCAATTTTTTTTTTCGAACTAAGTACTAAGCTAAGCTATTATTAAAAATGTCGAAATTAGATGAGAACAGACAGTATAAGTTAGTGTTCTTTTCCTTACCACTAACTCATCTGACTGGAAGTACATAAAACCTGTTATTGTCAACACATCATCATCACCCATCCCTAGCATAAGATTACCTTAGCATAGCAAGTTTTTTTTTTCATCTCTAGTCACAGTTGGCTGTAGAAAGCAATAATAGTATAAACTTCGTATTGCCAAAGTAAATTAAAGAACAAGAAGAACAAGGTATAACTATTTAACAAATCCAGCCATATCCCTCCCTCTTTCAAAAGTAGTTAGAGAGAGGCAACTTCCGAAAAACCTATTTACTGTAACCCATTACCTTGAAACACTTCGAAACTACTTGAGAGAGAAATAAATGATTTTTCTCTCCTTACATTCACCATAATTTTATCGTTGTTGTTGTTGCTATTAAAATTATTGTAATTTGTTTAAACAAATATATGTAATCTGTTCAACCCTGTAGCAAAGTTAACTAGCATCAGAGCAATAACGAAAACGAAAACGAAAACAAAAACAAAAACAAAACAGTCATTACAAGAATATTCAAGACAATAGTAGTGGTAATCCATCTCTCCTTTATTGTTTTTAACCTTCCCACTTCTAAAGCAATAACAATCAGTGAATAAAACAAGATAAATTGTACTTACTGTATATACTATACTATTATTTATGGTATCCATCTAAGTAGAAGAAGGCATATAAAGGTATATTTCGCAAACAAATGAGGCTAGTAAAAAATTGTGTTAGGGATCGTTCCTACTAGAAAACTCCTTCAGTCTTGGGACACCTTCTTCGGTTTAGTATAGTTTTCACTATCCAATATTCAGCTTTGGGTCTTTATTTCTTTCTGTCTCTCTCTCTGTCTATGTTATGGTATTACTAAAAATTTGTTACTAACAGTACCAGCACTAACTAACTTCGGCAAAAAATGTTTGGGAGAAACAAAAGTAGAGAGGTCTTTATTCATCACAGAGCAAAGGAAGAGGTATTAATGAAAGTTGCTTCTTGTTTATGCCTTTGGATGAAAGTACATAGTTAATTGGATTGAATATATAACCATTGTTATGCGTATACTTATCAGTAACATCAGCTGGTCTACAACATTTCGCTACTAATTGATTGATAGATGGTAGTGGTTGGAGCCTTCTACGAAATGAAGTAATAGTTTTTTTGTTTTTTTTCAATTTTTCACTTTTTTCACTTTTTTCTACGAAGTGTTCTCTCATGAAATATTTTTACCATCTGTAAATTGATAAAATAAAAATAACTACAGCTAAAAGTGAAGAGCACAACAAGACAAGGAACACGCTCAAGGAACTCATCATCTATTACTAACAACATTACCATCATCATTATTACTACTACCCCTACCCACGATTGTTCTTCGAAGATATTGATTCTAAAGCATAAATGTTTTTATTTTATTTTATTTAATTGCATCAAATAAATTTCAATATTGCAATTGATTCTAAAGTTACTATTGAAATGCTGTTGCAATGCAGTCAGTAGATAGACATTCATTCAATCTCTCTTGGACATGAGGTATCAATCCCTCTCTTTCTCTATAGTATATTATGTTATTTATCTCCGTGAAGATACAGATATGCACAAGTATTTAATGAAAGAAACTCCCTCTCTTTAAATCTGTATCATTCTTGATGGTGTGCTGCAATAATAAGATCCTATTTTAAAAAGAGGCACACCATACTGCTCTAAAATAACAATACTGCTTAATACACAAATATCTATTAACGGTATAGCCAAATGAGGATATTTTGTTTCAATTTGTTTGTATTCTATCGTATTCAGTCTGTATTGGGTATTGATAATTTACTAATTAATATTCACAAGCGTTAGGGAGATTGAAAAAGGTGGAATATTTTAAAATAAGAGTCCGTTGATATTTGGTTGGCCAATTACTGAAATCTCTTATATTCAAGGAAAACCCAAATTTTGCGCTTGTGCATTTAACTCTACTTTTATTTTATTCATTCGTCATACCAATTGAAATACGATTTAATGATGTTAAACACAACACAGTCTTGATAACTGTCCAATTTCAACTTTAATAGTTATTTTCTGCTTATTACACATTTTCAAAGAAACTGAAATAACTTAGATCATTGAGCGATTATCTCAGAGAACTCGTTATAATTATTATCTTATTTTAAGTTTGGATTTGTTTAAATTCCATCAAAAGAACTAATTCGTTCAATATGTTTCTTGTTGGTGTTATTTTATTATAAAATAATTAATTCTCTTGTGCAAATTTACTACATACAAATATTATAAATATTGGACGATTATACGTTGAGCCAAATAAGAAAGTACAACAACAGTAGTATCCACAACATTGTGTAGGCTTAGTAAGTATTTTTACTCTATTAATTGAGTTTCTTTCTTCTTCTTGTCCAATAGCTTTTAAAATTATTTGTAAATTCTATAGTTCTAATGGAACAAGATTGGATGAATGTCTATCTAATTATACATATGCCACTGTACCAAGTAGCTAGTGGGTGAGTTCCGTTAAACCAATAGTGATATGGTAAATTAATTGTTCCATATAAATTTCTTAATAATCTTCCATTGGGGGAGGGGGCACAAAGTGGAGGGGATTTATTATTATTTTACATTACTCTCTAGTACTTTGGTAGTCTCCTCTTTCAGTTACTACTACCATTACTTAAATGAATATTATTTAATACTCATTATCGCACATCTACATACAGGAAGCAATTGATGAATTATCGGTTTAATTCTCTATAAGACTCAACTCAATAGTATACTTTCCAAATCATTCATCAATCTCATAGCAATCTCCCCACCACCCCCTACCTGTCTTTCCATCTCCATTTACTGCAGTCTGGCTATATCTTAACTTCTTAATAATTTATTTCATTGGTGTAGTTCGTCCTTAGTTTAGCCTTGACGTTTCTGGTATTAGACGCAACTCGTTTTGACAAACCGTTTATCTTGAAATGTTCCCAGTTTGAAACTTATTTGTCTTAGGGGATGTGCAGTCCTCTATAGTTCAAATTAAAATCTCGGTGAAGCAAAATATACCTACCTGCTTCCCATTATAGAGGAGTTATATGTTTTCCGATCTAAAATATATTAATCACAATTATCCGTGGAAACGCTATTGCTTTACTATTCTTGTAATGACGAATTTAATTTTAGATCTAATAAGAATAAAAAGACTATTGCTTGCTAAAACATTAACATGCGATTCGATGATCTCAATTGCATTCATAGATGTTGGCTATCTTAATGCTTCAACTTTAATTTCAGATTTTCAAGTTTTATTTACAAGATTTATTTAATCTTCTATTATCTGAATTTTAAACAATAAATATATGTTGCGTCTTTATCCTTGCTGGTTGAGATAGTTTAGGTGAGGTTTTATTTAAATTTTGTTATATTAACTATTGGCACTTGCAAAATGAAGATATTATTACTAGTTTCGGGATTATATTTTTTTAGACAACTTTTATAATGCCTTCCGTGTTTACGTCACTATATATACCCACATAAATACTTGATTGTTAATATCTTTTTCTCATGAACTTGAATTTCATTTCATCTCTCCAGATTGCAGGAATAAAATTGTCAGGATAGAATTATTATCTAAAAATCTAAAAGATATATTTATATTCTATATTTTACTTATCTTATATTACATAAATTACTAGGATTTTACATCTATTCTTTTAATACTTTCTTGACGATTTTTTCAACTTCGTCCCAGTCATCTGTTGGAACACGAGTCATTTCAATGTCACCAAAGTAATCCTTAATATTAGATAAAACTTGGTAAGATTTCTTATCATGAACAAATGAAATAGCAACACCCTTTCTACCAAATCTACCAGTTCTACCGATTCTATGTATATATGTAGCTGGATCAGCTTGACCATTTAGTGATGTAGGTAAGTCATAATTGACAACCATTGAAACTGTAGGAATATCAATACCACGAGCTAAAACATTGGTTGTTATCAAAACCTTAGATCTACCTTCTCTAAAATCATCAATTAGTCGATCTCTTTCAGTACTTTGCAAGTCACCATGTAAAATGGAAACTTGATGGCCTTCTTGCTTTAATTTAGCATATAATAAATTGGCAGTCTTCTTTGTAGAAACAAAGATAATAGATGAACCAATTGTTAGTAAACCGTAAAGTTCGCATAAAACTTCGTATTTATGATCTTCGTTATTACAATCCATGTATAATTGTTTAATAGCGGCAACATTAACTTCATTTCTTTGTAATTCCAAGGTATTCGCATTTGGCACTACTTTTTTAGCATATTCTCTAACTGCGTCATCGAAAGTTGCACTAAATAATACCAATTGGGCAGTCTTTGGCAAAAACTTCTTTACACGAATACATTGATCTCCTAAACCTTGTTTATCTAACATATTATCAGCTTCATCTAGAACGTAAATTTTAACATGGTTAACTATTAGCAGTTTTCTACGCATTAAATCCAACACAGTACCAGGAGTGGCAACAACAATATTTGCAGTGACGGGTTTGTTCCTTTCGTAAGAATCAGGAACAATTAATTGGGATGTAATCTTTGTGAATTTTCCCATTTCTTGAATAACTTCTAACGTTTGTCTAGCCAATTCTCTTGATGGAGCCAAACAAATAGCTTGAGTGACATCCTTTGTAGGATCAACACGAGTTAACATAGTTAAAGAGAATGCCGCGGTTTTACCAGTACCTGATTGAGATTGAGCTATCATATTTCTTGGTGGATTACTCAATAATAAAGGCAAGGCTCTCTCTTGAATTTTTGAAGGTTTTTGAAATTTCATAGCGTATAAACCTTTCAATAATTCAGGTACTAAACCTAATTCTTCAAAAGATTTAACACTGTACAATGGTGAATTTGGATCAGCTTGTAAATCGGCTAACTTGACTTTAACTTCGTATTCAGACTTAACTAAACTTGAATCATCATCTTTTTTTGGTTTCTCTTCAGTTTTATTCTCAACTTCGGCAGTAGGTTCTGGAGTTTCAGTACTCTTTTCATCAACTTTTACTGGTTCTTCCTTCTTTTCAACAGGTTTTTCAGAATCAATCTTCAAAGAAGCCAATAAAGAGGCTGCATCTTTAGTGTTCTCAGCCATATCTAGTCACTTAAAAGAATGTTCAATGGTTCAGTCCTCTTTACTACAACTTGAAAGCACTTTTTAGCCTTTAAACCCATCTTTGATTGAAGTTCTTTGTATATACTTTTTTTTTCAAGCCGTTTATTCCTGATATAAAAAGTTTATTAGACAACCAAAATTAAGTCATGTGACCTTGACGACATAATACTAAATTCAAATGTGAGTTATCAATCAAACCTTTAAAAGGTGAATTAACATTCTCAGATATCTACCTATACTACCTCTTTTATAAATTTATATATTTTTTACATATTTGAAGTAATCAAATTGTTGAACCTGTCATACTTATTACTTGTCTCTCTAACACTTCAGGATTGCATTTTGAGCATAATCTGGAGAAGAGTTGTAGGTAATCTACAAATTAATATCAACTTATTGTGAAGTAAAATAATTATTGGTCAAATCTGCTGAACTACATTTTGATTTGATAAAAAAATTGATTCTCTCCAAGTATATCAATCATCTCTTACATTTGTATTAAAAAATTAAACCTAGCAGATGGATGTATGTTTAGAAAAAATATACTCCGAAGCGGGGAGTCGAACCCCGATCTCCACGGTGAGAGCGTGATGTGATAGCCGTTACACTACATCGGATGTTTTGTAGTTATCAGTTTCAATTTTGATTTTGTCAAATTGTATTAATATTTATTTATAAAAACTACTTATTTCACATACTTCCATGTCTCTGTATATGATATAAAGAAGAATTACAAATTCAAAATGACAGTTTGAATATTAGAAGTACTGATCTTAACTTAGAAGTAAAATATGGCCTAGATACTTGAGATTCATTAGATAACAGGATATAGAACTAAAAGTATAATTTCTAATAGGCAGTTGTACGTTAGATTGGGCTATTACTGTTAATTCAGATGAATTCCTCTTAACAAGCTCTTGAATCTATTATAATAATACATCTCTACCTTTAGAATTATTTAAACTTACTCAACGACGCATATCTTTTAAAACAAAATGTTTAATCAAAAATTTTAGGTAATAAATAAATAACATAAATATTCTTGGTTCTGAAATTTATTTTATCCCTTTATTTCAAATTTATCTCATACATTTAGAATAGAAAATATGACGCACTAAGCTCACCTTTAATGAGATTGAAGAATATTAACAAGATTAGTATTCTTAACTATTAATCAATCGTTGAATTCATTCTTTGTGTGATATAAAAATTCTGTAGATAGTTAATACTAAACATAATTCGAGTTTATGGAAATCTAATTTTGTTTAAAATGGATGACATAAATTCTTATTGTCTACTTTTATTCCTTATATATATATAACATGCGATGACTAGTTGAGACAAGATTACAAGTACAGAAATTTACTTGAGAAACTATACTGAGGTCCAATAATTAGTTGATAAGTTTTTAGTTTATTACTCTGAAAATCAAGTTGTGACGAAATATGACATCCCAAATAAAAATGAACATAATTATTTGAAACTGGTAACGAATTTTAGAATTCAGATATCTAGTGGGTAATGCATGTGTAATAAAAATAGGATTGATCTGGAATACACAAGTTTAATATATAAACATGGGGTAATATTCATGTTAGTTTAAAAAAATAATACGTTCTACATCTATATAATATAAAATTCTGAAGTTCTTCTATAATTTACTGTTAATTTTAGTCAAATGACAAGCCCAAATTAATTACTTCGTATATTAATAAATATAACAAAAATATTTTGGTTGAGAATTAATGAGGTTAATATTTCTTAAGAATCATTTATAATGCGTATGTAACGTTTTTCTGATATAAAATATTTATACCATAATATCTCAGATATAACAAAATCTTGCTTCCTCTATTACTTTTCTAAATCTTGCTACAGAGGTCATGATAATGGCAAAGCAAAACTTATATTTGAAAAGCTGGTAATTGATTTATTCGAATAATACTAGGTGGTTCAAGAGTATAAAAGGGGTATGTTGATAATTTACAATTGAGATCTATTCCCATTTTTATAAACATCAACCAGAACTATAATGAATAAATTATATTTTTATTTCCCTTGTATTGAAATACATAAATTAGTTGATTGAATAAACTAATGCCACTTTAATGGTTTCTACAGATATGTCTTTTGTGCAAATTTAATCCAATTTGATAATGTATCTTTACTTTATTATTCTGATAAAGGGACGTCTGCAAATAGTAAAGGTATGTTAAATAAAGTGTGTACTTGCATCAACTCCACTCAATTAAAAAAAATTAGATGATTAGTTAAACTCTAGTCTATAGGTGTTTGATTTTGTTGTGTTCATGTGCTTTAGTTCTTCACTTTATATAATAATCAATTTTTAAGTTAAGCTCTTGAAAATTTAATTTTACATAAACAAAACAATTTAATTTAAAAATGAACTAAAAGTTAAAAAAAAAGTAGCAATTAACATAAAAATACAACTTAAATCTTAACATACATATATAATTGTGTATAAACTTATTTATTGGTATCTAGATTTATAATTACCACTATGTGGTTGGTTCCAGTTTCCATTATACCTGCTTTGTTGTCGACTACCGCCTCTATGTCCACTGGTATTTCTATCATTTCTTTCCTGTCCGTTGTTATTGTATCCACGGTTTCTGTTATTATAGTTCCCATTATTCCTGAAATTATACGAACCTCCTGAATTTGCATTATAATTGTCCGATTGATAGTTTCTATTTGAATTGTTGTATCTGCCATAGGAACCACCTTGATGTTGGTTAAACTGCTGACCACGATTATAACCATTATTTTCATACGAGGTATTTCCTGTACCATTATTATTATAATTATTATGACCGTTATTCATTTGTTCAAAATGAAAGAAAGCTCTATAACCACCAACTCTAGGTTTATACTGAGTAACACCCCTTGGTCCTACTGGCACTATGTTTTGTTTCATATCATCTCCAAAATTTCTGTTACCATTTCTATAAAAATTTCGATCATTGTATTTGTATAAAATAGAATCTAGATCGTAGGATGTTAACATTGGTTCTGAGGCTACAAATCCATTCAATATAATAGATTTATTTTTTGTTGGTAAAGGTAGCATTCTGTAACTCATTTTCAGAAATAAATTTGTAGAAAGTGTTGGCAATGAACCAGCTTGTATTGGACATAAAATTTTACTATTTAAATCAAATCCTTCTTTATCTTTACCGACATATCCACTTAAACCGCTATTGAAATGACTGAAATATTGCTCAAAATTTGGATTCTCCAAGTTTTCAGTGTATAGTTCTTTCACAAATTTATCGTAATTGACATTTTTGTTGCTAATTAAGACAATTTCTTGATTCCGAACATTTCTAGACTTTTCACTATCCGTCAATACCTTATATTGTGAACGCACAGATTTCAATAACCTCTCTTCATCAATAAATGGCAGAAGAGCTATTCCCTGCCATGACATTTTTTTACCATTCATATCAATTAAAAATTCGACAGGGTAAAAGTCAACTATTTCAGAATCTGGGTTTCTCATTAAAGATTGGAAAACCTTAGGAAGCATATTACCAGATGCTGCTGGTAAAACACTCATTAACTGTTCATATGGTAGGAATGGTTCACCCAGTTCAAAATTAATTTCCATGTCCGCAATATTAGTAAAATCACTCGCAAATGGTGCATAATGATAAGGATAATACCAATTCCAAGACGCACAACCCTGATAATAGTATAGCAATACCCAAGAGACACCTTCAATGTAACTTCTAACTACCTTCCGACTTAATGGAGTGATATTTTCTTCAGCTATATTAAATTTAGAAGTGTAATACCTAGAATGGTATCCTGGTTCATACAGTCTTACAGATTCATCGGTATCAATCACACCACTAGTTCCTTCAAAAGGAGAAATACCTGGAACTACATCATTAGTGTCCTCTGTATTTTGGCCTGATTCTCCATCTTCTCCTTCTTCATCATTTAACTCATCTGCAACTTCTGCTACAATTTCTGCTTCTATATCATTTGTCAATTCATCTTCTTTTGATTCGGTTTTAGGTTTCTTAGTATCTTTTTCATTTTTCATTTTGTCTTCATTTTCTTCTTGTTCTAATTGACGCTTTCTTTCCGTTAATTTCTTCTTCATGGTGTCTACAGCACTAAAGTTGGCAATATTTCCTTGATTAATAGCTTCTTCCTCCTTTTCTTTATTTATCTCATTTTCAAGTTTATTATTAAGATCGCTTTGAGCTTTAATAACCTTGATCGCTTCCTCATCACCTTCATTTGCTAGCATCAATTCCTTTTTAAATTTGACCATATCACTAGTTGTCAGATTCCAAGAACCTTTTGCTAAATTACCATTTGTATCATATAGTTGGAGTTGTTCATTGAATTGAGTTGGATGCCTATCTTGACCTTGTGATAAATTTTTTTGATTTCCAAGTTTCCTTCTTTGAAGAGCTTCTTGTTTTCTAATTTCTTGTATATGTCTTGTTTTAAAAATATCACCTTCTCTTGAGCCTAATTGATATAACAGCTTTTCAACTGAAGCTAAATTCAATTCACCATCACATGTCATATAATCTTTCAAATTTGGTAGTACCACTTTCCATATATCCAATAAAATATCTATACTATTTTCTCTGACGTCTAAACTTGGTAAATGCGGTAAGAAATCATTACCACAAAAGAAACACATGAAAACCCAGTCATCGATAGCTCTCTCTAGATCAAATGGAAATGGTAATCTCTGAACCCATAATTCAGCTGAAAGATATTCTCTTAATACGCTGATGTGCAACCATAAAAATGGTTTTTGAGAATCTTCCTTCATTATAATTTGTTTCTCCTCTTCAGTCATATTAATATTATCTTTAAAATTGTGTCTTTTACGGTTATTTCCCTGGGCGAAAACATCTTCTCTTAAGATTTTAAAATGAGGCTCATGGGTTGCTAGCCCTAAAAAGATCAAATCTGCATCCAAACCATAGATACAATGTGTAGTATTTGGGTTATATTCTGGATCTGCACGTTGAGATCTTATAAAATTCATAATTTTATGTTCACCTTCACCAGGAACAGTAGCATCGCTAATAATAATTTGTAAATTTTTCCAACCTGGATCGGTAGCTAATTTAAATGCTGTCCAATAACGTAAAGCAGCAGCTAACTTATCCATGAAGGGAGTACCTGGAGTAATTGCATTCGAATCCCAAGTTTTCTTATTTCTAACGGATTCATCAATATGTTCACCAATTTCTTCTTTTTCTCTCATGATCTCTTCACGAGCTTCATCTTGAATTTTAGCATCTCTAGCACTTCTGAATCTACGAGCTCTCTGTTGATTCATCTTAGCACGAGGAGCAACACCATCAACAGCTATCATTAGCACTTTTCTTGGTCTTGCCATATTTAAAACTCTATTGGTATATTCAAAGACAGCTAATAACATCTCATCTTCATTTTCTGGAGGAGGTTTGTTTTCTGGATGAGAACAAGGATGGACAATACCGTTCATATCCAAATACAAATTATCCAATTCACCATTTTGATTTGGAGCAGAATAATCAATAGGTAATTGAACACCATCCACTACTTGTGGTGCATCTTCTAAGACTGGTGAAATAATTTTTGGGTATTTTCTAGATAACCATCTGAAAAATGAAGGAACACCCATAATCTATCCAACTAGTTTTAAGATTGATTTTCACACGATTACCTTAGATTTTGACAATAAATGACGGTTCATAAGATTGCATAAACTTTAAATAGAAACCTATTCATCGATTTTAATAACTTTTATAATAATTATATACATTTTAGTTTAAGCTTTGTCTTTTCCTTGTAGCTTAAAATCACTTTTGCCATAGTAAATAAAAAAAAAATTTCACTTAAGCGTACATTATGATCCAAAGTGTCAATAATCAGCTTAATTTATTATGTAAGAGCAGGGAGATGTGGTAATGACGATGAGAAGAAACAGAGAAACACTTATATAATCAAGCGTTTAGGAGGCTATCTATTTCAATATGCTGAGATTATGGAACATACTTATTTATTAACACAATGACAGATACCTTCCTTTTTACAAGAACTGGGAAATTTGAACATACCAGCTTTCCAGACACTTGTGAATACTGTCATGCCAGTAGTTTAAGGATTATTCAAATTGATTTGGATATTATACTAGTTATTATCAGTCTTTTCATATTTGAGTTTACAATTATAAGAATAATTATATCCAGGAAACCTCCTGTTGATGTATTTAATTGAAACAATGGTTCGATACCAGTCATTTGTGATCTATCTCATACTAAGAAAATAGAATGGAAAAACAATGGATAAGAAGCAACAACTTTTAATAATTGCCCCATACATTCCAAGTTATCACAAATATTTTCGAAAAGGCAGGGAGGGAAGGGATGGAAGGGAGCAGGTGTGGTTCTATTCATCATATAGTTAACCAAATTCCGTGAGACGTTTTTATACACATATATATTACAAAGAATTGATATTTTGATGCAAAAAATACAGAAATATGTATTATATCTGTACTGTTACAAAGAATTATTCACTATGTCGATCAAAATATGTATAGAACAAAATCTTGAATTCCCTTCCTTACATTTTCCTCTCCTCTCACTGCAATGTACATTCTTCTATAGAAAAAATGCACGCTGTTGCAAGACATTACTACTGATAAATCCATCAATACCTTGATTGCAACAGAGTTAAGTTTAACGAATAATTGAATTCTCATCCTAATATAACTCATTGCTAAAAATGATCAATCGATCCTTCTTCGAAGCCATTGTGCAATATTATTATGTACAAATATAAAGACCAAGGAGGTATATATTATTTTAATTCAACAGTGTAATCTTCCTCACACCTCCAAGGTTAACAATCGAAGTATTATCTAACATCAACACTAACCATGTCTCTTTCAAGAAAACTTAACCCTCCTCCACAACAACATTAAATTCAACAATAACATTTAATTTGCTTTGTATTGGCTTAAACATCAAACAAATACCCTCTGATACGTTTTTACAACCTTTTCTTGTTGTCTTTCTTGTTGTCATGGTACTTGTTCTTGTTCTTGCTTTTGTTCTTGTTCTTGTTCCAATTGGATTTCGAATTCGAATTCGAAATTCATTAAGCCTATCCCCATTGGCATAAAAAAGAAATTGGTGATATTTTATTTAAAGGTCCTACAATGGAAATATTTATAAAACTTTAACTAGTTTCGAATTACTTATTACTGTTGTTGCCAAGGAAAGGAAGAGGGTATCGAATTGAGTTATATCTATTATAGTGCTGTTTAAATTATTGATCTTCCATTAGGTTGACCTATTCTTACAATTGATATTCAAGTTTTGTATATTTTTTTGGGCTAAAAGTAGATTTCTTTCTGGGATACCTTTTTTTGCTTCTGTGGATCATATAGTCACACTTCTTATTTATTCTTGTAAGAAGTGTTGGAATTTTAACTAGGAGTTCATTCTATCATTATTATTATTTTTTAATATTTCCAATAGTAATTATTTCTAGTGCTTAAGGATTTATATAAGTATAGATTATTTGCAGCATCGAAATTACAATAGTCATATTTTTCTCTCATTTCAACTTTTATTTGGAAAAGACAAAACATTGCGATTACTAGAGGTATCAATCCATACACAATTATTTATCGAAAAGATTAATCCTTTACCTCTTTCTCTGATTCAGAATATCTTACTATAAAATATGTCTGACGAGAAACCTTCTAATAAAGGGCCATCCGCTCATATTCCAAGTGCAGATGTGAAATATTCCAACCCTTACAATGGGCTTGTCTATAATTTTTACACTTGGTTATATGATTTTGTTTTATTTATATTAAATATTTTGTTTATGATATTCTTTAGAGAAGTTAAAGTTAGAGGTGGTCACAATATTCCTCCTGTCGGTACACCAACTATTATAGTTTGTGCTCCTCATGCAAACCAATTTATTGATCCTTCTTTAGTTATGATAACCGCAAGAAAAGTTGTATATGATAATGACAAATTTGACGTAAACAGATCAAGACAAACTTGCTTTGTAACAGCTGCTTCAGGTTTCAAAAAACCAATAGTTGGACAATTTGGTATTGCTACTGGTGGTATCCCAGTGCCAAGACAACAAGACAATTTATCAAAAGTTGACAATAGGATTGTATTATATTGTCCTGATATGAATAAACCAACTGTTATTAAAGGTCGTGTCACAGATAATTCTTTAGAGAATCCAGGCTTTACTAAAAGATTCACTCCAAAAGGTTTAGTTGGTTTGCCTAATTTCTTAGCAAACGCAAAAATTGAATCAATCCCTGATGATTATACTATCATTCTTTCTTCACCTTTCAAGAATATCGATGCTCCTATCCAGGAAAAAATCAATTATCACATAGAAAATGGATGTACGTTCAAATATGCTCCAAAGGTTGATAATTCAAAAGTGTTCCAAAATGTCTTCAATCATTTGGATACCAAAGGTTGTGTCGGTATTTTCCCTGAAGGTGGTTCACACGATAGACCATCACTATTACCAATTAAGGCTGGTGTCGCAATTATGGCTCTAGGTGCAACTGCTGCAGACCCAACCTTAAAAGTTTCTATCGTTCCTTGTGGTTTAAATTATTTCCATAGACAAAAATTCAGATCTAGAGCGGTTATTGAATATGGTGAACCAATTATAGTCGATGGTGAAATGGGTAAACACTATAAAGAAGATCCTCGTGGTGCTGTCTCAAAGTTATTGAAAAAGGTTACCGATGCTTTATACTCAGTGACAGAGAATGCTCCTGATTATGAAACTTTAATGACAATCCAAGCCGCACGTAGATTATATAAACCAGCTTCAAACAACAAAAAGATACCACTGCCTGTTGTTTGTCAAGTCAATAGAAATTTACTATTGGGGTATTCTAAATTTAAAGATGATCCAAGAATTATCAATTTGAAGACTGCTGTACAAAACTATAACGAAAGACTATATTCCTTAGGTATTAAAGACCATCAAGTTCTTATGTTAAAAACTGGAACTGCTGCAAATATAAGAACACTTGTTGTTCTGCTTAACAGAATAATTAAACTTGGTGCCTTCTTTACATTGGCTTTACCTGGTACGATTCTGTTTACTCCTGTATTTGTTATAGCTCACTATTATTCAAAGAAGAAGCAGGAAGAAGGATTAAAAAAATCAGTAGTTAAAATAAAGGGTATTGATTTGATCGCAACTTGGAAAGTTATGGTTGCTTTAGGCTTTGCTCCAATTCTTTACATTACCTATTCTTTAATCTTGGTATACACCGCATCAACCCATAGAAATTGGTTAAGTTGGTTATGGATACCATTCAGCAACAAGGTTATGCAATTCTTTTATTTCTATGGTTTACTTGTCCTAACTACTTATGGTAGTTTGAAAACAGGTGAAGTTGGTATGGATTTGTTAAAATCTTTAGCTCCTCTATTTGTGACACTACTATACCCAGAAGATACAATAACTGATATCCAGAAATTACGTAATGAATTAAGTGATGAAATTACTGACATTTGTAATGAGTTGGGTCCTGAAGTAATACCAAACTTTGAAAGTTACAGGAATTCAAGAAAAAGTGACGAGGACAAAAGTGACAGTCGCTCATCTTCAGTTACACGTAGCCGTTCTTCATCATTTAGCTCCCTATTCTCTAATGCTTTGTCCAGAGTTAATTCTAGAGGTTCCTTAACTGATATTCCAATCTTTGCAGATGGCAGGAATTTCAATGAAACTGAAGATAGTAGTAGCAGTGATGAAGAAATTGATGATGACAATATCTTTCCTTCAAAAATTACTTCGATCATTAGAGCGAGACGTCAAAATGAAAAGAAGGAGCAATAAAAGCTGAACTTAGTAAATATTGACACTTTAGAAATAATGATTCATGATAATTAAACCCATTTTCGATATTATTAGTAAATATATCAGTATAACTACCTACACATTACTATTTAGCCTTTTTAATAAATTGAATTAAAATGGTATTCAATATATCCAAATAAAATATATCCCAGATAGCTATATATATACATGAATACATATAGAAACTTTGTTAAATATTAATCATTTCATGACAATTCAATCTTCACCGATAGGGATTTCGTCTTTTAGTACTTTGTTTAGTTTGATTCTAATTTCAGTTTGTGGTTCATTTCTTAAAATATCTGATACAAAATGCACATCACAGTCTAGCTGGACCATCTCTAGTGCACCTCTTAGAACACCGCATAATATATTAGAATACCACAACTGTTTTGTAGCATCCATTGGTAGCTCAACAAATTCACTTAATGGGTTTTCTAATAAAATAAGTGAGAATGCATCGTTACTAGGTGACCAATTGGTTACTTGAGGTGTTATATTTAAAAATATCTTAAATGCACATTTTGTAATTACTTCACTAGTCCTTATCATATCCTCACATCTTGGTAAAGCTGTTCTTGCCAAGAAATCCTCTATTAATCTTACACCAATATTATAACCCATACTAAATAATTGATCATTGACTTTATTATAATCACGTTGGAAATCGGTACATAATTGTGATACAATTGCACCATATGTCATTGTGAATAATTCAGCATTTATCTTCTCAGTTTTATTCTTCCATATTTCTTCACCAGTAATTTTTAAAGACCTCGATTGAGATGCTGATAGTTTCTCTGAAGTAGCCATTCTAAAATTTTATATTGTTAGCCTCTTCAACGTATGATCTACAAATATTAAATTCACAAGCCAATAAGTACACTATCAACTCTCACAACATAACTACATCTTTTATAAACCTCTTCGTTTTATAATTAATATCTTTAATAGTTCTTGAATTAAGTTTTGATTTAACAGTAGATGCCAAAGTCACGTGAATACTGATTATGAGAAGACGAACAAACAATAAAGATGAAAGATAACCCTTGTTTAGATGTTAACTTTGAAACGTATCATTAGTACAGTAACAACCATAATGCAAAAGAAAGAATTATATATAATAATCAAGACATTTTCAAATAGTTAACTCATTACAATTCCTTATGAAATATGAATCTATAAACGAACTCTTATTTTATTTAAAATTTTATTTTTATCATGTTAAATCATTCCTTTTCCAACAAGTTATCTAAGATAAATTGGAACTTACCCTTGGTAGCCTTATTGGCCTTTCTTAAAATATCTTCAGCTTTTTTGTAAGCACTTTCTTGTTCAGAAGATTGGTAGTCTAACAAATTACCTAGGTCAATTTGAGCTTCAGCGACTTGTACCCAAGTTTTTGGATCTTCTTCGTTTTGAGCCTTTTCCAAATATTCTAAGGCTTTTTTAGTTAATTCTTGAGCCTTCTTTTGAGCTTCTTTGGATTCATCAGTTGGTTCAACATCTTCATCGTCGTCTTCATTACCATATATAATGCTCAAGTAAGTAGAAGCAGGTTCTTCGGCTTCCTTTAACAACAATTCACCAATGGATCTAGCTACTGAACGGAATAATTCAGAATCTTTTTCCTTGATACTTTCTAATAAGTTGTCAAAAGAAGATCTTAACCATTGGTAGTTTTCTGGAACTTGTTGTTGAATTTGATATAGTGGATGAGTAGTCTTTAACTCAACTAAATCGATACCATCTTCATCATCACTATCCAAACCTTCTTCGATATCATCTTCATGACCGAAGTTTTCAACTATATCTAACAAATCGTTCAACATGTTTAAGACTTCATAACTCAATTCTAAATCAGAATCAACAATAACAAAATTTTTCTTAGCATCCTCTAATTTTTGGTGTAAATCTAATTTCTCTTCAGAATCGACTTCCAATTTGAAAATGTATTCTAATGGGATTCTTTGCAGTAAAATCTTGGCAAAAACTAATTTCAATAGATTGGAATCTGGATGAGCAGCTTGACCATAACTCAATCTATCCAAAGCATTTCCGAAGAATTCAGAAACTAACTTTCTTTCTTTACCTTCTTCTTCTGCAGCTTTGAAGATAGTCAATTCAGATAAAGCTAATGCATAAATAGCATGAAATCTATCATTTAATTGCTTAGCCATTTCTTCATCTTCTTGAGCTTGACGGATTAGTCTGTCACATTCGTGAACAATACCATTTAACATATATTCATCATCTCTCTCAGATTTAAAATAATTTAACCATAAACCGTGTAATTGAGCCAATTCATTATCTGGATCAACACCTTCACCTAATTCAATTTGAATTTGATTAGTGACTGTTGGTGTAGCATTTCTAGATCCACCTTCTGATCCAGATTCTACCTTTCTCTTCTTTTCTCTGTTCTTCTGACCTAATCCCAAAGCTCTCTTAGCCATTTTCCCCCTATATTAGTTTATAAGTTTACCTAACGATAGTAACCTTTCCTCTTTCTTAAAAGACGATTCTCAATGCACAAGATACCAAAGTTCTATATAGAAAGTACAAGATTCAAATCATCCCATCTTTATATTTCTATTTTAACTATCTTCATTCCAGCTTCCAATTTAACGCCCAAAATTTTTTCATTCATTTTTCGTATAAAGCATTTCCGTAATGGGAAATGCCAAATATATAAAAAGAAACGGTGAAACAGCATAAATTCTTAATCTTAATTTCCTTCTGGCTATGGGTTATTCTTAGGTCGTTTATTTAAAAAAAAAAAAAGAAAGTGAATATGTCAACGAAAAAAGAAATGTTCTAAAACTGCCAAATTGAATTAAAAAGACACTTCGAGAGAGATGATGACCAGAATGAATATATACACAACTTGGAATAACGGTATGGGAAAATAGGAGATGTCAGCGACTCAAAATATCAATATTCTTCATTTTAAAATGCTGGCCACTAGTTTCTGTTATAATTTTATGGAATGAATAGATCAATTTTAGTAAAAATCTTAATTCTTTACACCAAATTATGTGATAAATTCAACTCAAAACCATCTAAATTGTAACACAAATATAGACACAGAGATTAAGTTGGATATGGTTAATAGAGCTTCTTGAAATATCTTTTCATTTTTATCTATTGAGAATTTTACAAAAATAATTCAACCTTTTTTCATTTTTTCCTTTTGATGTAATTTTTAACATGATTCAGAGAAAATCCCGCAGAAGGAAAACTTTAATTCATTATATTTGAGATGCATTTTTTAAGTGATTTTTCAACTTTATAGGAAAGTAAAATAAATGAGAAAGAGTTAGAAAAATATTAGAGATCTGATTACTTTATTTTAAATGGAAGCCAAACTCCGCATTTGTACCAAATCGAGTATCAGAACCTTCATTAGCGACTAGTATTTCAATGAATGATCAACAAAGTTAGATAATATTCATCTATATTAGATATAAAACAATAACAATTACAATAACAAAAATAACAACTACAACTACAATAAACATAATAGATTGCTAATTATCATGGTATTTAAAAGACTTTTGCATTCTACAAAAAAAAATATTGCATTTGCATTTGATATCGATGGCGTACTTTTAAGAAGCAAGACTCCCATTCCTGGTGCAGGTGATGCGTTGAGGCTACTAAACAAAAATAATATCCCTTATATTCTATTAACAAATGGGGGTGGTTCTTTAGAATATCAACGTGCTGAGTTTTTATCAAATACATTAGATGTGGCGATTTCCCCAGATCAAGTTATATTAAGTCATACTCCTTATAGAACTCTAGCTAATAAATACAACAAAATTTTAGCTATTGGCACACCTTCCGTAAGAGAAGTGGCTAAATCCTATGGCTTCAAAAATGTTGTTCATCAAACTGATATAATTAGGTATAACAAATTCATTACACCTTTCACAGGATTATCAAATGAACAATTATTAGAATATTCTCAAGAAATTCCAGATATAGATACTAAAAAATTTGATGCAGTACTTGTATTTAATGATCCACATGATTGGGCTGCTGATATTCAAATTATTACTGATTTATTAAATACTAACAATGGTATGCTTAATACATTAAGAAATGAACAGACTTCTAAACCATCAATTCCAATTTATTTCTCAAACAACGATCTTCTATGGGCAAACGGATATAGTTTGAACAGATTTGGTCAAGGTGCTTTCCGTTTCTTAGTTAGAGAGTTATATTCAAGATTAAACAAAGGCTTAGCTTTAGAAGATACAGTAATTGGCAAACCAACAAAAATCACTTATGATTTTGCCCATAATGTTTTAATTGCATGGAGAGAAAATCTATTGAATGGTGGTAGAAATGGATTGTTAAGTAAGCTACCAAATTGGGGTGAAGAAGCCAAGACCTCTCCTTTTGATAAAGTTTATATGATTGGTGATAATCCAGCTAGTGATATCATTGGAGCTTACAAATACGGTTGGGAAAGTTGTCTTGTTAGAACAGGTGTTTATAGAGATGGGGATAAGTTAGACGGCTTCAAACCAACTTACACGGTAGATAATGTTTATGATGCAGTGACCAAAGCACTTGAAGGAACTATATAATCTAAATTTCAGAAACTTTTACATGCTGGCATACTATTAGTATGAACGAAGACAAAAAAAATGAATGATATTGTAAATAGGCTATTTTATATTTTTTCATTAAAATTACGGATTCTTTTATAACATATATATACTACTGTCACTTTTGGTGAAGGTAGTCATCTAGTCAATTTTATTGCAGGGAGGTGACTTTGAGAATGATGCAAAATGTATATATATATAAATAATGATCAAATCAAATATTTGTAGGCATTATGTACCTTCATATTCATCTTCAACGTTTTAGTTATCTATCTTTCTCATAAATCCACATTAAATCTTAAAGAGTAAATGGACTGACATAGAAATTCTATATCTGAATCTTGGGTATTATAGTTTGCTCACTCTCTAATTTATCAGCATTTCTCTTTCGCAGTTGTTCTTTGCAAGTGCTTAGACCCTTACATTGATGGTTCTCTAGTAGTCTATGTTTGGAACAGTAATTACCACTACAATAATCACAAAATCCTATAAGCTTTAAATGAGAACTAGTACAATTACCATAATAACATTGCGATTTCTTCTTCTTCTTCTTACCACCTGTCGATGTTTTAATTACCTTATTCTTGAGTTTTGTTGATAAAGTGCTATTATCTGAATTTTGACGTGACAATGGTATGATTTCAGATATTGAAGAGGAATCTAAATTATTTATATCTTGGATAGTTGGATTTTTTCTACAGTTTCTTTGATATGATGGATTTTCAATTTCATTTGGTGATGAAGATGATGACGATGGCGATGTATTTGAACTTCCAATAGCCACCGGTGTTAGGCTTCTTTGTCCAGCTTGAACTGGTGTTGGTTTAGCATCCATATTTAAATATAGTTTTCTTTATATGTATATACTTTTTTTTTTTAAAAATTTATGACAGCTTGTCTTATGATTTTAGTATAATATCCTATGACAATAATAGAGATGATAATTTGACAATATTCAAATTACAATATTAGAAAATATTTGGGTATTTAAGTATAATTAATGTTTTATTTTTTTTTACTTTTGGATTTAATTTTGTTAAAACTAAGAATTGGTTTGATATAAATAGTCACCATCATTCCCAATAAACCTTATAACCCCTCCTCCTCCCCCCCACTAACTATTTATATTGCATATTTATTTTTCACTTAATTGTTAGAGATATTATTTTATTCCCTAGTGATTGAATATATAATCATGTAGTAGTAAAGGAACCAGGCATTATACAGACAAACTATAAAAGAAACAATTCAACCTGATGAAAGAAAAAGAATCAAAATGAACGTAATTAATAATTATGACAGCAAAAAGAATGAGAATAAGAATAGCCACAACTACAATTACAATTACAACTACAACTACAACTTCAACAATATCACGATAAAATAGAGGGCTCTTGGAAAATGCTCTTGTTTGTCCTTGCTTAGTAATTTTTCCCTACTTTATAATAAATATCAAACAATAAACCATATCCAATTGTTACCTCCTTTTCCAACACAATTCGTTCAAACTAATACTCTCCCTACAGTGTAAATTACATTTACAACATATCTCTGAGTGTGTCCCACCAAATAAGAGTTCATGATTCAATTCAATTCAATTCAAGCTAATTCAAGCCAATTCAATATAAACCAAATCATCAGTCTCTTTGAATTAGGCTACAAGAAACTTTGCCTAACAGTATGTGCAATCAAGTATAGTACCATTTTCTTAATAAAAAATCAAGAGAGTACTTAATACTGTTCAGCAATACGAACTAATATTAGGTATCATCATCCATCATCCATCAACGTAATACATTTTAATCGTTGTACCACCACCACCTAATAGTGACGACATATAAAAAACCTCAAATGCAAACTGTCCGAATCCTTACTTGTTTGTCAAAACCAGTTTGACTTAGAACTAGAACTAGAACTGGAACTAGAACTGGAACTAGAACTAAATCTACATGGAATAAACGCAAATGAAGTATCCTCCAAGATTCTCTATTTTACTTCTTTTCAAGTCATTGCTTCCTTATCTTTATGTCCAGTTCTCTTGAATTATATATATATACTTCTTATTCTATTGCTTATATTCCCTAAATCCATCTTATCATTGAAAATAAGAACTGACATGGCATGATAGTCAGTTTCTTATAGTCATACCGTCCTTGCTTCAGAAACTCTCGTCTTCATTATCATCATTATTATCATTATCATCATCATCATACCTCACCCCTCCCATTGCTTGGTAACTCCCTGCTGTCAGAATGCTTACTAACCGTTTAATTACAAAGATAGTAGTAATAATGATCAGAAACAGAGGGGGGGGTAGAAGTTTGTACTAGTAAAGTAACTATAATCTAAACCCAACAAGAGTTCAATCGTACTATTACTATCTAAGAGTCTTTTACTTGCCTTGTAAAGAAAGTTGTTTTAGCCAATGAATGAATATCGCAATGGTGAACTTGTAAAAGAAAGGGCAATAAGAAAAGGTAATGTAAAGAGGGACATCATGAGAAGAAGATAAACAAACCTACTGTGAAATTTGATTTGCGTATTTCAATTTTGAATTACTTATTCAATGATATTCTAATCTCTTCCTTCAGTACTATTTTATTAATGGATTTAATTTCTTTGTAATGTTACAATCAAATAAGAAAGATTAATGCAAATACAGTAATAAGCCTATTTTGTCCATATGTGGTTGGGAGAAAAGCTCTATATCGCTTTGATGGGTCCAGTATCTTTTCCATTTCCATGAGACGGTAATCATTGCTTTTTAAGTAAGACCGTTCATTCTATTTAACAAGAAATGGTAGTGCTTGGAAAAGATACTAAGAAGTTAACTGGAAAGGCATATTATATCTTGGAAGTAAAATCATTCGCAAGCAATAATCAATTCAACCTCATTTAAGTTAACTTAGTTTACTTTGATTTAATCTAATTTAAATTTAATTATCCCTCCTCCTTCTTTTAATATCATCGTACTAAAATCTTTATACCACTAGTTTCATTGTATCAAATTTCATGCATAAGTAAAGCCTGATTACTTTTTACTTAAAGATAAAATATTAGCCTAAGTTAAGTTGATGATTAATTGCAAAAAAAGTTTCAATTTAAGGTAACTAATATCTTTATTGTTGATTTCTGTTTCCATAATTAAACTTTCACTTTATTCCATCTCGGTAAAGGTCCAGTACATAAACTAAACTGACACCTTTTAGCAACTCGAATACTGGATGTTATAGTGATATGAAAGGTTAATTATAGTGATATGAAAGGTTGGTTAAAATAATAATTTCTGTTAAAAAGTATTAATAATAATAATAATTATCCCTTGATTAATTATGTATCTCATGATAGTAAAATGAAGCAATAAAGATGCATATGTCATCTTTTATTTAATCTAGTAACCCATTAGTTGCATGGATATACACAAATTATACTGTTCTTACGATAAATCACTAAAAAATAAGCCCCCCCTCCCTCATTTTTTCATTTCATTAGTTAATTTGCCTTTACAAGGATATAGTTTTAGATTGCTGTCAAGTAACAAACTAAAAAAGTACTAAAACAGATTTTATTAAGTGTAAAATTGATAATTTTCGATATTCAAGTATTCTAACCATGACCTTGAGGATTCTGAACAAATGGCAATAATAAATGTAAATTATTAGCTGACACTTATTTTTATTTTTATTTTTATTTTTATTTTTATTTTTATTTTATTCCATTATCTTTGACATCATATTGTCTATCATCGGGGTTACTTTTCTGGTACAGCTAACCAATAATGACGTCACTACGTCGCTATGTTTTCTACCATATCTTTTTTTCTTTATCTTTAATTATATTCATTATTATTTCATTACTCTTAGTAATCAAGAAGGAATACCAATATTAATCTTGATTCAATTAGAATTGTAGATCTTCAAATCCAAATGCAACATTAAGTTAATAATAATAATAATAATAATAATAATAATAATAATAATAAATTAAAAATAAATTGAATAAGTCTTTTTTTATCAAGCTATCCATTTTGTATCTTATGTTAATAAATAGAAATGGACAAATGCAGAGAAAACTTATATTGATTTTATAATGTTTTTCTACCAAATATCTTAGAAATGTCAAAATTTAGTAAGTCCCCTATTAATAAAATGGAAATCTAACTTATATATCTAAATATTATCTGGTCAAAAAAAAAAAATAATGCATACAGATATTATAGCACATACTAGGTGAAGCATAATAGTGGACAATGACGACTATTGGTCGGATGCGATTATGAATAAACAATAATTTTTTCCTTACTTAGTATATGCAATGGTTTGGTTTTTGTATTTTTTTTTTCAGGATTCAAATTCAAATTTAACTAACTCTTGTATCAATAAAAATCCAAATTTGTAATATTATACTCGACTTGATGATATATGCTTTGTTAAGTTGAAAAAGTGAACTTGCCAACCGTAAATGCTAATAATTATTATGACTTAAAGCAATTCTAATGGGTTTAAGTGCTAGCCTGATTTATATTCATATTCTCAGAGCCAGTAATTAATTCTCCCACATCATCGTCATCGTCATCGTCATCGTCATCGTCATCGTCATCGTCATCGTCATCGTCGTCGTCGTCGTTATCATCTTCATCATCAGAGGCATGTCTGCTTTTCAAAACATTGCCATTAACATCTTCATCTTCATCATCCTCATCTTCCTCCTCATCTTCTTGTTCGGATTCAACGTTAGGATAACCACCTAATTTCATCACAATCTTATCCACTAGCTCATTCCAATCCATCATACCACCAAGGCCTATATCACCATTTATATCCATAACTTTTTCAGAAGGTTTTACAACAGTCATCCAAGGCATTTCTTCTTTGATAGTCTTCAAATGTTTCTTTGTAGAGTAACAATTATAAGTACTGCTAATCATGGAAGGGCCCAAAAGAATAGGATACATTGGGTTCCAAGCTCTCAAAACACTTGTAAGTAAGTTGTCACATAAACCTAATGCAATTTTAGATAGCGTATTAGCGGTTAAAGGAGCTACAACCATTACATCAGCCCAACGGCGTAATTCAATATGAATAACAGGGTCTGTACGTTGTTCCCAAGCTTTCCATTCATCTTGATCAGTCCATACTTGAATGTGAGGTGGTAACTCCGCCTGTGCTGATAAAGGAGGTGGACTGGTTGTGGAAACATGCCCATTAGTAGTTGTATTAATAGCTGGTAAATTTTTATTCTTCAATATTGACGACACATCGTTTGATGTTGTTTTAGATAGGACGCTAGAATCATTTATTGCATTGTTACTATTGTAAACTTGGTTTTGGGTATCCCTTTGGATATCGAGAGGATTGGTTTTTGATGTAATACTTCCAGATTTTAGTTTCTTTGTATATTTTTTTGTGAAAAATCTTGCTGCTGAATCAGTAAGTACCACTTGAATACTAATCTTATCTCTACCGTAGATTTCTTCTAATTTTTTAATTATCAATTTAATTTTGAAAACACCCAATGCACCTGTAGCACCTAGCAACACATGCAGTTTACCGTCATCTTGTGGCAATCTAGGATCTATATTTTTGGCATTTTCTCTTTTGGCGATATTTGGTCTAGAAATTTGCTGTTGCTGTTTCTGTTGTAGAGGAAGATTGTCTAGTTTTTCTGTTAAAATTGACTCTTCAGATTTAGCCAAATTCTCAGTTTGAATTACTATAGGGGAATGTGCCCTCACTAGATTTGGATTTGAACTTGAACTTGATAAAGAATCATCTGAAAACGAAGGAGAAACAGAAGTTGACTTTTCATCATTTTTCTTTATTATACTTTTGGGTATATTAACAGCAGTTAGTGAAGGATCGGAACGTAAATCAAAAGTAGCACCCTTTCTTTCTTGTTTTATGGAGGTAGCTACAGCAGCAATATTCAAAGGAGAGACCGACTGATTGATATGACTTGGAGTAGGGACGTTAATAGAGTTTATGAATGGTTTTGAAGTGAGACCACCATCTATAGAGTATTTTTCTTCACCTGTGAGAATAGAGATTTCGTTCCCAAGATCTGATTTCACAGCATTTGGTTTAGCATCACAAAATGTGACAGTCGGTACTCTTTTCAAGCCAACTTCTGGACTATTTGAAACCACTGCACCTGAAGTTCCAGTGGTGTTAATGATTGATTTAGTTTTCACCAAATCATTACTATTATTTGGTTGTGAAACCGTGGTGGTGATGGTAGGGAATCTTGAATTTGCAATGCTAGTGCCATTACCGTTGTTAATCGAATCAGAATTTGGTAATTTTGACACCATGGAGAATATTGGAGAGGTAATTTCCTCTGATTTGATTTGATTTTCTGGATTATTCATTTTCCACAAAACAAAAGAAATCAATTAATAGTTACTGAGTAATTAGTAATCTTAGCAGTACGGTAACGAGAATAATGATACCACAATACCGAACAAATAGATATGAATATATCTATATCTATATCTATATCTATATATATGCGATCAAAGCAAACAATATCTAACGGACACACGGTGGTACCAGTGTCTGATCTTATTAATGATAATATTTTTACAATAAAATGAAATAAAATACAATACAATACAATACAATACAATTCAATACAATTCAATACAATACAATACAATACAATACAATACAATAGAATAGAATAGAATACAGTGACGAACAAATAAACACAAAATAGAGTAATTTTACAATTCTTATAACTAATGTATTATATTATATGATATTATATTGTAGGATAATATTTTTATAGTTTGTATTAAAAACCTTGGAACAAAAAAAATCACAAAAGCAAAGTATGCCTCTTGTTTAATCCCAACTGGAGGAGACCTTCGACAATCTTAAAAATGTATACAGAGATAAAGGTAAATTCACTGACACTCAGGACTGACACTCACTCATACATATACTGATATACACACGAACATACACATATACAGACAGTCTTTCTTACACAGACATATATAGATAAATCTATGTTTGATAAAGTTGGAAATAGATTGGGTAGTATGTTAAAATTACCAATCGATGAGTGAAGGAAAGAAAGAAAGAAAGAATGAATGAATCCCAAAAACCTGTGTGGGTGGGTAGTCTTGTCGTTGCAAAGTTTTTTGTTTCTTCTTTTTTTCTGAAAATCTTCAAAGCCTAAAGCCAAAACTCAAAGCAGAAGCAGAACCAGAACCAGGATTACATTTTATATTAGGTCTAAAAGCAAGTATAGATTTACTGCAAAACAGCAACAAGCAGAGTAATTTACCAATTTTACAAAAACTATAGAGTAGAGTAGAGTAGATGAGATAAATTAGAATAGAATAGATCACCATCGTCCTCATCAGATCAGGAAATCCAGAAATTTTCACCTTGCCAAAAAAAAAAGTTTCATTTTATCAAACTTTTTGTTAAGAGTGAGAAGAGAGTGGGATAGTGGGATAGTGAGACGAGAGTGGGAGATGTTGGATGGATCGATTAAGATCAATCTGTTAAAAAGTAATTTCGAACTGAACTGAATTGGACAATCGTGTGTTCTTGTCAACGTACAGTACTACAGGTAAGAAAGAGATCATATTTTCATTTGGTTGTTCAGGAAGAAGCAATGCGAACAAGCAATAACGTAGTGCAGTATAGAGTAGAGTAGAGTGTAGCCATGGCGTGCTGTTCTAGCACATAGTGTTTCTTTTGTCTGTTTCGAACTTGAAACGAGAAATTCGCAAAAAGATATCTGTTTACATTGGCACGTGATCAAAATGAAAAAAGAGTAGTCTTCATCCTTTTTTCTTTTTATTTCAGTTATGCACAGGTTACCCGGAAACGTGTGCGTTTGTACAACAGGCAAGGTCATGAAAATAGTGTCAGGGTGAACAGACAGACACTTTCTCTTGAGGTATCGATCAAACTCTATTGTTAGTACTTTCAATAATGTTTAAATTACACCAATTTATATATATAAATAATGTATACAATATATCTTTTGAAGTTTTAAATCTTCATTTTTTCCTTCTAACACTGTTCACATATCTCCCTCTATTAACTTTTACTGAATGGTGTTTCAACCCAGTAATCGCAAATGGCGACATATAATTATCTGCAGAACCACCTCCAATCCAATTATCTAATACCTTTTCATTATGCCTATTGGTCCATTCTTCTTGTTTCATCAATTGAGAATATTCCTTTTGGTCCTCTCTTAAAATAACTTCTTGATATTGTGGTTTGGAATGAATATAACCCTTTTTACCATATTTTTTCTGCGAATTTTTGGAAAGTGGACTTGCTATAGAATAAACATTACCTCTATTAATCCATTGGAAATTAGACTTAAGATGTGGTGTGATCTTACCTGTCTCAGAATCAACACTTACCGCGCATCTTAATAATGTATTTTGTAACCCACATGATGGACAGAAATGCTTGGCTTTACCATCCTTTGGCAATGGCAATAATTTGAAACATGCATGACATCTTAACATATAGTTACGCAATCTTTTGATTCTTAAACCCGACATAAAATTCATCAAGTTTAAATTTAATTGCAATGCTACATTTTGTACTGCAAAATCCCCAGTAGCTAGGGCAACTTGATTGCTTGGTAAATCTAATGCATTATTACGTTCTTGTTCTGATGCTTCAACACCGCGTGAACCTGTAGTATCTTCACCGCTATCTTTAATTATCATCTCTGTTAAATTATCTGGGGTAATCCAATCTCCATCATCATCTTCTTCTCCATACTCTTCTCCCAATTCTTCGTTCTCTTTTTCAACCTTAGGTACAACTACTTCAGTTTCAACTTTAGCTTCAACTTGAGTTATAACTTCCTCATCATCTTCTTTATCCTGTTGGACTTGAGGTTGGGATTCTGCTTCGACTTGAGCTTCAGCTTCCCTCTTAGCCCTTTGCTTCTTACCACCTCTTCTTGTCTTTTTCTTCTTCTTTTCCCCACCTTCTTCCTTAGGAACACTTTCTTTGTCTTCTTTGCCTTGATCTTCTTTAATATGTTCAACTGTATCACTTATACCTAAATGATCTAAACTTTCACCTGGCACTTTCCTTAGTCTCCAGTCACCTTTGTTTAATTCGGTTTCTAGTTCATATGCTAAAGCTAGAATATGAATATCATTTGCACTCAAAACTTGGAAATCACCAGTCAATTTTGCAAACTTACTTACTGTGGCAATGGAATCTTGATTTGGATGTCTCAGATTCAATGTACCTAAACTTTGCCAAATTTCAAGATTCTTTCTAGCTTGAGCATCTTTAATTTCTTGGAAAACTGTTGGTGTTGTATAGAAGGACTTTGCATACCTTTGATAATGAGTATATGATTGGGTAATCAAAGGTGTTGCATCCAATACTAATGCTTTAACATGTGCAGTATTTGAATCGGAACTCATTGTAACCAATTTATTCAGATATTTTGATCAGTATATATGGCTTGATATGACTTAACTTTGGCGGTTTCCTTCAATAATTCTTAAGTTATTAACTATACTGAATGAGTAGGAAAATACTGACCCTATGAAAGAAATATAGAGATTGAATACCAATAATACCAACAATAACAGCTTGATATAACTATCTTTAAGTATCTTTTAGTACTAGTATATTTCTACCTCATCGCATAAAAATTAAAAGTAAAAATTTTCTTATTTAGTGAAAAATGTTTAATGGTTGAAGTAGTAAAGGAACAAATAAAAAGTTGTGCCAGAGAGCAATAAAGAGCTTTGTACACACTTACAAGTACTATCCCCATGTGGACATTAGGGTTTTTAAGATATAAATCTGCTTAAAACTTGTATTTAACTATTAGATTATTGTTTTAAAGTAAATAAATTAATTTTGATCATGTGATCCATGGAATTCTAAAACTAAAGTCATTTTTCTCCGACTGCCAGAAGAACTCATCCTTGTTAGCTCAGTTGGTAGAGCGTTCGGCTTTTAAACAATTCCAAGTTTAAACCAAGGATACCGAAATGTCAGGGGTTCGAGCCCCCTATGAGGAGTTCTTCCGTATTCTTTTTTGCCAAATTTTTGTTCCGAGTAGTATACCGTTTGGTAGCGACAACCTCTTAACATATGGAATTTTAACCTTTTATTGCTACTATTGCTATCTATCGTCACGTTTTCTACAATAATTTTTCATCATAAAACAAGATCATAAGCTAAGCTCATCTGGTGATCGAATAATGCTACCCACAATGAAGTTATATCACTAACTAGACATTAGCCTATAGTATTCTAAGTTACATCTATTTAAAATTTGTATTCTTTTTATAATGGATATTAATTTCAATTCGTAGTTGACTTTTGCTCCTTTGTCTTCTTCTTTTATGTTCACTTCTAAATTGATAGACAATTGAAGATTTTAGGAACAAGCTACCTAACCTTAGACGATATCTAATATCAATTGGAATTGATCATTCGACTCTCATAAAAAATATATAATATTCAAAATGCCAGAAAATAAAGATTTTGATTTAGAAGAACCATTGACTTCTACCTCTAGACCTTTGACAGATTCCGTTTTGACAATTAGAGTTATTAAATCATTCCCATACAGAAATGTTAAGAATTTTGTATTACCTAATTATGATTTGAAAAATAAAAGTGCAAAAGATTTATTCGAAGATGTATTAAAATTTATCCAAACCAATGGTTCTTTCAGACCATTCCGTAGTGTTCAATATGACACTTTGAAGATATATACTCATGCCCATGGTTCAAAAACTGTAAATTTAGTGGTGAATTTTGAACATGATGATGATTGGGTATTAGACATAAATAATGTAGAAAAGAAGTTACATGAATATGGGATTGAAAATGAAACAGAGATTTCATTGTTTAAACTAGAAGATTATAAAGAATTCAAAGCTAATCCAACAGAAAAATGGTTGTGATTGATTTTTTCTTCAATGAGAACTATTATAGTTTAAATTTATCAGAGTTTTTATTATAAATAAAGACCTTAAATAATACAAACAAAAAATAATAAATGCATACACACACACACATATATATATGTATATAAATTTCCCGTTTGGGAACCAATTGCAAATATTTCAACCTATTTCGTCACTTCTTTAAAATTGAAATATATTACAATTTAATTCATTTTGAACTGGTTTTAATTAAGTATCTAACCAGATATCCTATAAATTCTACCGTAGCAACACTATTGGGAGTATCCTGTTTTAACCCATTTCTTGCTACTATATCTCTATGTGCATTCAATGCTTTGATATAAATTGGAATCTTAACCCATTCTAATTCATTTAGATTCTTAACAATTATTTTTCTATTATTATCTAAGGGGAGTGTTCCAAATTCCTTTACATATGAGTTTGGATTCTCTGGTTTCCAATTTTGTGAATATGTATGCACAAACTCTTCCCATGAAATCCCACTATACACAGTTTCATCGTCATCTGACATTTCATTTGTTTCTAATGTAATATCTAAATCGTCGCTATTTCCATCACGATCTATTGATATAAGAGATTCGTATGTATCTTCAACAAACCCTCTTACCTTATCGTCAAATCCATTAATTCCTTTTCGTAATAGAGCATCTGTATTCCCATCCTTAATCATTCGTCTATATTGTCTGGTAACGATATATCTATAAATTGTGGCGCCTGTATTTATAATTAAGGCCAAAGGTAAAAAAATAATCATAAGTAAAATTATTAAAGGTACTCTTCTTAACATTTTTAACTTTACCTCTGTAGTATATTCGTCCTTTGAATGAATTACAGCACTGTTTAATTCATTTAAATCGAGAATCTTCGGTTGTAAATTTGAATAACTTGCATTGGGTATATTGAAATCAAAATTATACTTGACACAGTTTTCCGTTACAAGAAATGGGTCGGAATCTGTGATAAATGATGTGTAAAATGGGACTGTTCTATCATTTTTAACATTTGCCAAAACTACACGATATTGGAATTTTTTTAAACCTTCAATAAATTCTCCTGTCGTCATTTTAACCAAAATATCGTTTTCACTATTAGAAATGAACAATTCTTTTCCCGATTTACCCAGTATAGTTGTTCCCAAACTTTTCAGAATAGTGATTAAGACTGCTTTTCCAGGTGAATGATTCAAATTATAAAAATCTACACCAACATGAGGGGTCGCTAGAGTCAGAAATAGAATTGGTTGCATTCCTTCGAATATCTCTTTACAATCAGTAAACATTTTCCCTATAATAAATCTGCCAATTATACCACCAAGTGAATAACCTATGACACTAATTTTGTTAAACTGGTATTTTGAATTTTTAATGAATTGTGAAATTTCAATCAGAGTTCTATAACCTACAATTTCTATCCCATCTAGTGTTTTGAATTTAGCATTTTCCATAGCAGAATAAAAAACGAAGTTACTATTACTATTACCAGCATCAGAGTCATTACTATCACTACCTCTATCATTAATAACTTTTTGAAACATTTCTAATAAAGAATCCATGTGCTTGTAATTTCCCCATAACCCATGGAGCAAAATTACCAAATGTTTAGCCATACTATCCCAAAATTTGATTGTAGTATATTTATTCACTACTGCAGTAGAAAAAAGTTCTGCCCACCTTACTGATAACAAGATAAAGGCACAAGACATTCTTTTATAGTTGGTAATTAAATTTCTGAATCCTTTAAACATTTTCGAAATTTTGGTTTTACATTCGCCTTAATTAACGATTCGGATCCGGTCTCCTTTTAATGTTGGCGACAGCAGAAGGATAAATATACCAGCTAGCTGACAGTAAAAGGAATATGAATAATAATATTATTATTGTCATCTATAGTTAAATGGGTTTATGTGATCTGACTCGAGGTGAAAGGGGCGGGTATATCGAAGATGAAATTTTTCTGAGGGTGATATCGAAAGGTATTGAATGTAAACTATTTAAAATTAAGTATAATTAGATATAATCGAATATAGTAAAATGTAAAATGGCATTTTAAAAAAAAAACCATTGAAATAATTGCTTAAGTAAAATATAACATAAAAAACAAAATGGAATGCATATGTTTTATATTTTGATGAATAACTTTAAAAATGAAAACAAATATATTGTAAAGTAAAAACGGTACAATAAAGTTAATGGAATAAAATAAAAAAGAATAAATTAAATTGGAATAAATTAAATTGGAATAAATAAAATTCAAATAAAATGAGAATAGTAAAAAAACACTACATGCATGAAATAGTCTCATTAGATTGTGAAGTGACCTGCACTTTAAATATTGAACTTTTTCTATAATTTAGATCAATAAGACAACTACCAGGAACTAGAAGAGATTCTGTATTTGATTTATACAGGAGACAATTTTTTCTAGGAGTTGTTGGTATGTCATTAATGACAGTTCTACATTCGAAATAACGTCCATTTCTATCAATTTCCCTTTTCAAGACGTAATTATCGAATTGTAGCAACCGTTTTTGCATAGTTAAATTTCGTTCAGTGCTGTTGCTATTATTATTATTATTATTATTATTGTTGTTGTTGTTGTTGTTGTTGCTGCTGCTGGTACTGCTAATGCTAATGCTATTGGTTTTCTCTTTATAAATAATATTAGGTTTCTTTTTGTTTCTCATAATATTAACCTTATTACTAGTACTACATTTATCGTAACTGTCATTATGACTTCCAATTTTATTAAAACTAAACAGATCAAAATATTTTTGTGAGGACAAATCAGGTCCATAAAGCACAGTCACATCATTTTGTTTATCCCAATTGATTACAATTGGATTTAATTTGATATCGTTCAAATTTTTATCCAATGCCAGTGACCATTGGCGAAAGACACAGTTTACCAGCCTACCCATATAAATGTAATAATCGGTATTGTATTCTAATGAACAAGAAGGTAACCTCATCGAACTTCTCTTATATCTGAATCTATGCAAGAGGGAAAAAACTGTGTGGTAATCTAAAATATCCATGCCATTGAAATAATCTATTGCAGGTTTTGAATAATTTGTCCAATTATCCAACAGTAACAAATTTTGTTTTGTTAATACCGAATCATCAACACTATACAACGTCATCAGTGTTTGAGACCTAACAAAAAAATTATATACCTAGGGGAGTGGGTGGGGAGCAATAGAGGGATACACTTCAACGATGAGATGGGGTGGGGGGGTATATTCAGTTGGCCCTTTTTTTCAAAATATTATTATTGGTACTATGGTATGGAAAGAATAATTTATTTTATTCGAAACAATCATCTTCCATCTTATATATATGTATTCATATCTTATGAATTAGTTATGCAGGCTAAAAAAAAAAAATAATTAGAGAAGATAATAGGTATCCGATTTCCCAACAAAGAACTAAAGAGATAATATAGAAAAAGGTCAAAATAATAAGCAATCGAAAGTTAGTCCTTTTGGTTTGAAACTTCAACAAAGCAGGTAAAAAAAAACAGAGTCTTTGAGTAATAAATTCTGAATCTAAGGTTCCCAGCGGGATGAATCGATACAGTAAGAAGATTTTGTCCTGCTATATTAGTTAAAATAATTAGTTTCTGCAAGCTGCAAGAAAGAGAACATTGAAAGAAAAAGAGGGATAACCATACAAGTGCTTATAATATTGACATCAGCATTACTATGGATCAATCAATCAACCAACCGGGTCAAGAAGAAGAAAACCTAAAGAATTGGAATTTTGTAGTGAGAAATATCAGGAGAGGTTTGTCTGAGTTACGAAATATATAGTAGATAGATAAATTAAGATTGCTTAGTTTAGTTTAGCTCAGTTCAGGTTTGGTTCGGTATGGTTCGGTATAGTATGGTATAGTATGGAATTGGCTAGCTCGAATTAGACTCTTTTAATTTAGAATTCGAACAACCGCAGGGCTGACCCTGGGCGCAAGCTTTTGAAAGAAGGAAACGTTAGTTCGGCAAATAGAGGATTGTTTCTAAAGAACAAATCGCAACAAAACCAGAAGCATCTTTGCATAATCTTTAGAAATCTTTAGAAATTTTGTAAAATGTGATTCGAGAGTAGCTGTGCAGCTTAGAGAGCATATAGTTCTTTTATGTTCTTTACAAAGAACATAAAAGATTGCTTTGCATAACGGAAGGAAATGCGAGTAAAAATCATGTAGGAACACCGATCACAAAAGGGAAATGCCCACAAGAGTAGCCGAGATCCGGCGGGAAAGACGGTTATGGATGTGTGGACGGTCACACGGCTGACCATCGCACACTATCGGTAACTGGTGATCAAAGGACTACGTAAACAAAACAAAAACAAACAAAACAAAGAAAAGCGAAAACGAACAACGAAAGAATAAGGAGACTGGCTCCAGAGAACCAAGTAGACAGACGGAATCTAAAGAACAGATAGTACTAGTAAAGTTTCTGGGAGAAAAAACGAAAGAAGAAAACACAGGCAGTTAGTTAGTTAGTTGTTTGTTTGATCGATTAAGGTAAAATTACAAAATTACAAAACTACAGTAGTTTATGTGCATGGCTTCTACCGTTTTGAATTCCAACACACTCGATCGAGGGCTCGGTTTTTATTCTCCTTCTAATGATCAGAGAGGAATGAATGGCAATTATATCCAGAGAACAAAAAAAAAGAAAAAGAAAAGGAAAAGGAAATACAAAATTTAACAGGTCTCCCCCCCAATGATAACAATCCATAACCTCTCATTCCGCGTTATACTTCTAACCATAAAGTGAGAAAGTGGTAGTAGCAAGTACAAAAAAATGGGAGTGAGGACGTGTAAAGAAAGTTAAAGCCAAGAAAGGAAAACAAAAAGAAAATATATTCAAATCAAATCAAATTGGATACGCTGTCTTCTCTACCGCATGTTTGGAAACTGGTTCAATTTTAGGGTACTGGAGATGGAAAAGAGAGGTAACGATTGAAAAACAGCCGTACACCTCCACTTGCAATTTTATCTTGAAGTTGATTTTTAGGGTTCTCTGTGGTGGTGTATGGGGTAACAAGGAAATAAAATTACAAAATATTATTTCCTCTCTCCCCTCTCTCTCTCTCTCTTCCGTCTTTACTCGTGGGTGAAGTATATGAATGCATGTAATATCTCACTACCATCGGATAGAAATCATAAAAGTTAACTTCTCTCGTTCAAGAAAGACATATAGATTTCTTAAGGATCATACTTTTAACCTTTTTCGGAAAAATAAAACAATTGACAATAACAGTTTTAAAGAGATGAAAAATAAAAAAAAGGTATATACACTATCTTAGTCCTACTAGGTTCTCTTACCGACCGATTGCTGTTTTTTGAAATGTAACTACAGCCAATTATACTGTGCTATATACTTGGTGTAAATGATGTTTGAATTCATGTAGTAGTCGGTCTATACATAATAAATACATAGACAGATAGATACATCTATAAGCTACTATGCTGCTGATACGTTGTTCTTTTCGCAGAATTAGGTCGGCAAAAATACACAAAGACCTGAGAGACTCCCTTTTCTAACCACATATCTATGTGCAAGACTAGTTGGCGCGTGTAACTCTCTACTGAAATGTGGGTTGTATTTCCTTTTTTTTACTTTTGCTTTTGCTTTTGCTTTTGTTTTAGTTTCCATACAGTAAAGAGAACAATTCTCTTATCTTATTACCAAATCTTTATTTAATGAATTCACCTGGTCCCAAGTTAATCCGACACATTCAATACTGTCCACATCTCTATATCTATTGCTTAATATCTATTGCCTTTTTGGTGTTAAACCTAGCTCATCTTAATTGTTGTTGTATGCATCTAACCCAGCAATTAAACTGTACTGTTGAAATTCAATAATATCGGCCTCGGATCATCTTATTTCCCCGATATATATGTGTTTGTACATGCATACATTTATGCTTCTTCCATTTCTCAAATATTAACATTTTTGTTATACCATCTACACTGGATTTTTAAGGGGATATTTATGGTGAAATATACTGGTTGTTCTCTTGATCAAATAACTACTACACCAACATGTTTTCAATCTCTTTCTTTCTCCCTTATTTTCTTGATATATCGAACAATCAATATTGAAAACGCAGAAAAAAAGAAACGAGAAAAAGAAAAGTTCAGTAAAAGAACTTTAAATTATCCGAACGTTTCTTTTCCGCGTTTCTTTTTCTGTTTGTGATTATTTCGAACCTTTAGCCTCATTTACCCTTTAGTAATATCTATTCCTCATTATGAGCAGTTTATCAAAATTAATAACATAGTTTCTTACAGATCTGGCAATTTTTCATGGAAGTTTGTATCATCTGTAATTTTTCTCTAGTTTAATAATAGCCTTCTTAGAAAGTTACAATGTATGGTATGCATATTACATATACAATATGACGCATATTGCCATGTCTTTTTATTATTGCTGTGCCATTATTGTTATTGATTTATTATTATCATGATAATTATCATCAGTATTATAATCGAAAACAAAACACTCACACATATATACAAAATTCAAATAATATTAACGACCGAATGTGGTTGTCTGAACATTATTATTTTGTACAATTTGTAAAATCCGCTTTGTTTGATGCAATTCATTCTTTAAAGTCGTGTTTTCCATTACCAACCGATCATATCCATAAGCTTTTCTCTCCAATTCTTGAATATACAGTTTCTTTCTTTCTCTGAATGCCTTCTGTGCATTACGATTCTGTATCGCTCTTTTACTAGCGTTTTTACTCTTTTGTATACCTCTATTCACCGTTGGTCTATCAATGACACTAATTGGTGATGGTGTACTAGTGACGACAGATGACGTAGCCATCACACCAGTACCGGCGCCAGAAGTAGAAACAGAAGTAGATCCAACTGGAGTTGTGGATACCGGCGTATTGGCGGTTGTCCCACTATTAGCTGAACTACTTATACTCGACCCCTTAATATTATCATTGGATGTCGTTGTTATAGCTACGTTCCGAAGCTCTGGTAAATAAACCTCTGTCGCAAATTTAAGACCGTTGGCACTACCATTGCTGTTATTGTTAGGATTGTTGGCAGTGGTATTAGTATTGTTACTGTTGCTTGTACCATTACTCTGGGTTAAATGTTGGATCTTGGGTAATATTGGAACACCTACTGTCATTGGATCAACAACTCTTGGCTGTTGTTGTTGTTGTTGATGTTGTTGTGAACTTGTCATTTGTCCTACATATTGAATATTCCCATACATTTTCATATTTAGATTTTCATGTGCTGTCGCTTCATTTCTCCCAAGTCTACTGTTGGCACTAACACAGGCATTTGTTATATTGTTAGGCATATAATAGTTTCTCATCATTATGTCGTCTTCACTCATTCTAATAACTGGTATCATTTTTAGCTGGTGATATATTCTTTACAATAATCAATCTTAAATGTTAAGATAATATTTTACTTACATAGAAATCAAAATAAATAATTAATTTCCGTTCTATTTTACAAGAATTTAGAAACAGTTTCAAGTAGCAGTAATTACATGCATTTTTCACAATTCTAATCATTTCAAGTATTTATATATATCATATTTTAATAATGACAAAATCTTCCCAATCCCAATATCTCGTTCATACCCTCCACATGTACAACGTTATTTGATACTTGCTCCTGAACAATCATACCATTTATGTCACGATTAAATTGTTTTAGATGATATATCGAAAGATTACTAAATCTACATTTACTATTATGTTTAATGTTACCAACGGTATATTGTTATTACAATAAATCATTCCTGTCATTCATCTAAAAAATATCAGTGTTTAATTATAAACCTGTTGTGTATATCTTCTTTCTGTATATACATAGTACGAATTAAATCAAACAAACCAACATATTTTTTTAACGTAATCGTAATCGCAATCTACTAGATTGCCTACCTTTACGTAACCTTTACAATAATACTTACTTAAAAAACTTTTATTCCATACCAACATCGCACCATTTTAATTCAATTCTAGATTAATTTGCATAGCTTAAAAGTTAAACATCAGGTATTTTTAAAAATGGTAAGAAAACAAACAAGCACAGATTGAGAAAGAAAGAGGATTATTTACAATGATACTACCACTATCACTGTTAATGCTATTATCGCTACTACATCTACTACTACTACTACTACTCTTACTACTACTGCGCTAACTGTAAATACCATAGCTACTAGCACTTACTTTTAAAATATGATTTAGTTTAATAAACAATTCAAAGAGTAGTAACAGAATCGTTTATTGTATGTTATTATTTCGAAAAAACAACGCAAACTTTAGTATGCAAAAACCACAATTGTTGTTATCTTAATAAATTCCAATTATTAAATTGCTGTTTTGCATTTTTAAGTTTACTATTATCATAATGATAGCTATTCCTCAAAATATTAAGTTTTTAATCGAAATTAGATATCCTGTGACCCAATTTCTATTTCCAAGAAATAGCAAGAAATTTACCATGTTATTGTTATTAATAATTAGAACTACTATTTTACAACTACTTAATATTTCCTTTTATTCGATAATAAATCTATTACAGTAATAAATCTATTTCAGTAACAAATTGATTATAATAAGAATTAATTGTATGGGATATTATCATACTCATGCCAGAAAATAAATTAAAGATTTAAAGTTAAAATTAAAATCCAATTAAAACTCTTCATGTATAGTGTAAATATTTCTATCACATCATTTTTTTCTCCTCATTAACAACAATTCGACCCTTGGCTAGTTGGCTGCATAATTAGAATATTACATATACGGTTATCCACGCAACTGCTATATATCCATTCTATAAATAACCTAAATGAGATATATCTATATACATAGCAGGTCAAAGAAAAAAATAAATACATTGGATTAAGAAAAAGTAGAGAAGCAAACTTAGAGGTAAAGAAATCACATACATTAAGTTCAATTTCTTTTTCGTAATTCAATTTCTTTTTCGTAATTCAATTTTAATTAAAACCTGTATCCATAAGAGATAAATTCTATTAATATTAGTATTAGTGCAACTTATGATAATAATAATAGACAAGCAAACAGATAAATAAACATCAAATAGACATAGCACAAATTGAATTATGCATAGATATACACTTGAGTTGATTACCGGTTACGGTGGTCATCGATGTATCTACTATCTTTACTAAGAACCTAATTTTATTTTTATAAATTCAACAAGGTAGCAGCAAGTAATTCTTTCACATACATCTCCACATTCTATCCTGTAAATATTTGATAAAATAATAAACTTTTTAATCTCTTGCATCATCTATACATTAAACTGTGCATATTGTTGATTCTTGTAGAAAAAACATATATATATAAAAAAGTAAAATGTATACATAGTTCATAAAGGTAACAGAAAAGCCATACCTTTATTAGAGATGGCCTAAGAATCAAGCTCCATATTTACATGATCTCACATGTTTATTATATTTCGAACATAAAAGACAAGTAATACCTTATCAACTAAATAGCCACTTTTAGTCAATTAAGATATTGTTTCACCCTTCCATCTCATTTCAACACATTTCACGGTTTTAACGACTACTTAAGAGAAAATATAGTATATTCTAACTAATAAGAACCTCCTTAATTCCTTACCCAATCAATAACAACCTCATCTAAGTCCAATTTTTAATAAACTAAAACTCATCTCATTATCGTCATCAGTTCAAGTTACAGCATAAGATGGTATAATATAGCAGCACGATATATAATTATTTAGTATAGCACTTCCTTGTAGATAGAAAGTTGTTCCTGGATATGCTCCTTTCCAACAAAGTCAAATACAGGACAGGTGAAAATTTCAACCTTATTCATCAGTGAAAAATCGTATTACTAGTTAGTAACTCCAAGAATATTGTACTGTAGTTTTATTAAATGAACCTGGAAATAACAGTGCCAACTGGAAAAACGACTCACAATTTAAAAATGTAATAAAACTACACTACAATACACTACACTATGTTACATTTAACCTTTTACCTTTAACATTTTACGTTTTAAGTTATTCGTTTTTAACCATATTCGTACTCTTGCTGGTTTGTTTTTATCTCCTTCTCGAGAGATCTAAGAGACATGACCCAACAACGTTCGTTATTTGGACGAATCCAAATAACTTCATTCGTTCATTCAAAAACACACAATAATAACAATAATAATAATAATAATAATAATAATAATAATAATAATAATAATACTTATATTTCCACTTACAAATGGAAATATATCATCATCATAACCATCATTGTCATCAACATCGTCATCAACATCGTCATCAACATCGTCATCGTCATCGTCATCCCTCTCTTTTCCCTTGACTATTCCTAAATTGGATTTGGCCAACACGTAGCAAACAGAATTGTATAATTCTATGATAATTAGATCTATTGCTGGGGTTACACCTTCCCTAACCACTTGCTCTTGTTCACTCGATCTATCAAGATATTAATTTCTGTATTGCAGCAGCACAAGTATTAGTAATATTGCTGCCAGTAGTAGCAATGTATGGATGAGACCAAATCAAAACCACTCGAACACTTTCTGGTTTAGTTTGGTTTAGTCTTGGATCTCCTTGTTTTAATCCAATTTAATCCAATTTAATCTGCTCGTTTACTATACAAGAAGTTGGTTGATACATTTGGAAAAGTAGTACACAGACATATTCTCTTATTTCCTCTGTTGCTTTTTTGCACATTATCACGACTCTCCTATTCAGTCATTTGCCAAATCTAAATTAGCAAGGATCACTTTTGGTGATAATGCCTAATTATGTTATTGAACATTTTGTATACTGTTCAATTTTTTTGTTAGTTTTTACATTGATGTATTAATTGACGTTTTCGATCTTGGTATTGGAATTGGAATTAGACTTGATATTGCTATTGATGTTGATTTCTATTTCGAAACTATCATTTCATGCCAGGCATTCTTCTACACATTACAAATATCTTTTGAATTCATTGAGGTGATGTTCTAACGGTTTCTACATTTGTATTAACGTGCTCCCATTTAATTTCAATTCCAATTTTAATTTTATTTATAATTAATTTAAAGTTCAAGGCTTAATTAGAATTTAGGTTTGTTATTCTACACTTATTGATAAAAACTTTAACTTTTCTTATTATCGACCATTATCATAATTAGAGAATTTTATAGATTAAAAAAATGCTGGACATCTATCTACTATGGATCACCTTTCTATTTTTAGATTTCACCTTTGCTTTTGGATCAAATTCCGAATTTACCTCTAATTCTGTTGAAAAGTATGTGGCTTATGATCAGAATGATCCAGTCTACAGAGGTGTTAGCATCGGTGGTTGGCTAGTTACTGAACCTTACATCACACCAACTCTTTATAAAAATGCTACCGAAATCGCCAAGAATAAACAATCAACTATTAATATTATAGATGAATATACTTTATGTCAAGCCTTAGGTCATGATGATGCCAGAATTTTATTAGATAGCCATTTTAAAACTTGGATTACTGAATCAGATTTCAAACAAATCAGCGAAGAAGGGTTTAATATCGTTAGAATACCAATCGGTTACTGGGCTTGGAAATTAGATTATGAGACGAATATGTACCCGGGAAATTACACCTATGATGACCCTTATGTCAATCGTATTCAATTAGATTACTTGAATAATGCATACCAATGGGCTGCCAAGTATAATTTGAAAGTTATGTTAGATTTACATGGTGTGCCAGGCTCACAAAATGGATTTGATAATTCAGGTCAAACTTTAGAAAAACCACTTTGGTTAACAAAGGAAAACTCTACCGAAATCACCACCGCCATTTTAAGAGAGCAAATTGATTCTATATTCAATTCAAACTCATCATCTTCTGTAAGTGCTTTAGAAATCGTAAATGAACCTTTAGGCCCAAAATTAAATATGACAGAAATTGTCAATTTTTATGAAGACACTTTAGAATATTACACCATCACAAAGAACAAAGTTAGCACACCAGCTTCTAATGTAACCTTTATTATCCATGACGCTTTCCAATCTCCTGGTTATTGGGATGAATATCTTAATCCAAACTACATCAATACTACCAGTTCATATTTAGAAGGAAAAAATTATACTTACTCTCCAAGAAGTATTGTAGTTGATCATCATCATTACGAAGTTTTTACAGACTCTCAGTTAGTAGAAAGCCAATATATTCGTTTAAAGCATATAAATGATTTTGCAATTTCAATTAGTGAAGAATTGAGTTCTCATAGTGCATTTGTTGGTGAGTGGTCAGGAGCAATTACTGATTGTGCCACATGGTTAAACGGTATTGGCGTGGGTTCTAGGTATGATGGTACCTTTTCATCAAATTCTTCTTCTTCCACATTTGGCAGATCAACTACAAATAACAGGACATGCACTTCTCAAAATCCAGTTAGTGAATGGTCAAATGAATATAAAATACAAGTCAGACAATTTATTGAAGCACAGTTAGCATACTATAGTACTCATACAAATGGTTGGATTTTTTGGAATTGGAAAACTGAAGGTGCTGCAGAATGGGATTATAAGGAATTAAAAAAAAACGGATTATTCCCACACCCATTTAATAAATATAAATATTTTGATAAGGAAGGTAATATAAAGCCATCAGTTTCATCGTCATTATATTCAGAATATACAAGCTCATTATCTTCAACAGCATCGGGCGCTAGTAGCACTGGTGCATACAAAAATGGTACATCAAACCTAATCAAGAACAAGAACAAGAACATTTTACAATCATTATGTGGATGGAGTTTAATGTTATTATGCATCACTGTCGGTGCCACTGCGTTATTCTAATCCCAGACAATTATCTTCAAATCAAGTACAAAACTGATAGATTTCTTACTACTTTTTCTTTTTAATGTTTTCTATTGATTAACTGATACAATTAGGATATACACATATATAGACTATATACATTCCATCTAGTACAATCCAACAGATGGATATCCGTAGATATACCTTGATACTTACTACAGAAAAGTACCATTGAATTAAAACTATTTATTTCGAGTTATCATCACTATATTTTAACATAGTGAATATCGAGTTCTTACTAGTAATTATTTGTATGGGAAAGGGCAATGAGGTTGAAAAAAATGATAATTTTTATTTAAAGAAAGGTTTATTAAAACGTAATAACTTGGTGATAAAATCGTTACCGAATGGTTTGAATAGAGGGTATTGTAAAGCGATTGATCGTATTTGAATAGTCTTAGTTGTGTATTATAAGGTTTCCATTTAATTATATTTCGTTTGGACTAATTTTTGATTAAATTCAAGAACAGTAGCAATAGTAATTTTTAGTTGGAAGAAAAGGGATTTTTGAAATTAATAAGATGAGTAGTGGTTCCAAAATGGATATTGTTGATGATGAATCAGGTTCTTCAGATTGTGTAGACTTATGGATTGATTTGTTTCTAAGCAGAAAGGGTAATGAATATTTTTGCGAAGTAGATGTTGATTACATTACGGATAGGTTTAATTTAATTAATTTACAAAAGGCAGTATCAAAATTTTCCCTAGTTATTCAATATATTGTGGATGAACTCGATGAATCAGTACTGGAGGCCATGTCTCCTTCAAAATTGGAACAATTAGAAGCAGATGCAAGAAAATTGTACAGTTTGATCCATGCAAGATATATTATTACAGTAAAAGGTTTACAAAAGATGCTAGCTAAATATAAAGATGCAGAATTTGGTAGATGCCCAAGGATATATTGTAATTTCCAACCTCTGTTACCCGTAGGTCTTCATGATATCCCTGGTATCGATAGTGTCAAGTTATATTGTCCATCATGTGAAGATTTATATAATCCAAAATCTCCTAGACATGCTTCGATTGATGGTGCATATTTCGGTAAAAGTTTCCCAGGTATGTTACTACAAACATTCCCAGAGTTTGTACCAAAACATCCTATAAGAAGATATATTCCTTCAATATTTGGGTTCGATCTACATAAACAAGCCCAACTTTCACGTTGGCAAGAACTACAAAGATTAAAATCCGTAAAGAGATTAGAAACAATAGGCTGCGATCTATCTGGCAATGGTGGGTTCAAATAATTGAAATAAGAATACGCAATACCAATACATTAGACATGTATGAAACTAAACCCTTTACCCTCCCAAATAAAGAAACCAGAGATGAATTTTCTTAAACGAATGTAATTTTTAATGAATTGATCTATATAACAGTTAATAAACTTTATAGAAGGAAACCAAAAAAAAACAGAATTTAATTAATAATGAAAAGTAATAGTTAAGCAGTAATAGCATCGTCGATCAAAGTTAAATAAATATAATCATTCCATAGTTCATAAAATAATATAAGATTTTTTTGCTTTACAATGAATCCCATTACTTGTTCGTTTCAAATAAATACGAAAATATTTATTCATATATAAAGGGAGATACTTCTTTACATAAAATTTTGATTGAATCCTTCTATATACTGGTAAAAGAGCACTTGTAAGTCATCAAAGGGTGATATTGGTGTTGCAAAATGTTTGTTAAATCCATTAAAATGAGATGGACAACAGGTGGTGTTAATTACAGTTACCTGTTGTCAACTGCTGATAAAACCAAATCGTGGTTAATTGATCCAGCTGAACCTTATGAGGTATTGCCTCATTTAAATGATGCTGAAATGAAGAGTATACAAGCCATTGTTAATACACATCATCATTATGACCATGCTGGTGGTAATAAGGAAATTTTAAGTAAATTGCAACCTTTAAGTAGTGGCCATCCAATTCAAATTATAGGTGGTTCAAAATACTGTGAAGCTGTTTCAGAGGTACCAGAAAATCTACAAAACTATAGTTTAGGAGACCTAATAATTTCATGTATCAAGACCCCATGTCATACTAAGGATTCGATCTGTTATTATGTGAAAGATCCATCAACTGGAGAGCAATGCATTTTCACTGGTGATACTTTATTTACTGCTGGGTGTGGTAGATTCTTTGAAGGTAATGGCGCTGAAATGGATAACTCATTAAATTCTGCAATTCTAAATTCTGTTGGAAGAGAGAACTTAGGTAAGACATATGTTTATCCAGGTCATGAATATACCAAAAGTAATGCACTCTTTGTGCGTTCAATGATATATCCAAAGATTGGTGACAATAAAGCCTTTGACAGTTTAGAAAAATTCGCCAATGACAATGATGTCACCACAGGTCATTACACCTTAGCAGATGAACTTGAATTTAATCCATTTATGAGAATTGATGATCCTGCAGTCAGAATGGCAGTTGGTGACAAAAGTTCAACTTGGCCAAGGGAAAAGGTAATGGATAAACTAAGAGAGATGAAAAACTCCATGTAACTTTAAACTTTCAAAAAACATAATAATTCTTAAGCTTTAATTTTTATACTCCTTCTTTTTTTCAATTATTGTAATTGAAGTATATTTATATATTACTATTATTTTTCTTTAATATTTATTTTAATTATTATTTTATGTATGCACAAATTATGAGATGAAACTAGATTTTACTTTTGATTCGATTATCGATCTTAGAGTTAAACCCAATTCTAAACATGATTTTTCACCTATTTCTAAAACATTGAACAATTGTTGTTCAGTGAAATCACCACTACTATCTAAGAATAAGACATTTTTAACCTTTCTACTACCTTCAATTAATTGTAAGGCCAAAACATGTACCGACTGTGACTGTAATAATTGCGAATTGGTTGGGTTTATAATGACATCGTCAGAACCCTTCAGTATAGCCATCGAAACACTTGAAGCAATGCTATTTAGAGCTAAACCAGAATCAATCAAAGCTAGCAAAGTTGCATTTATACAACAACTCAATTCTTTCTGAGAAAATTCGTATTCACTCTCCCCACTCTCCAGAATCTGACAAGTAATTTGACATAGTTTCCTAGGATATTGGTACAATGATACAATTGGTGTAATAACCGAACGTAATCTATCTTCCATCAATTTTTCTCTTGTCGATGGAACACCTTTAGCAGGACGAACTATAATCTCTAAAGCCAATTGAGTAGGCAACTCCTGCCTGGCTTTAGGTTCAATAGGACCTGTTACTGCACAGATAACTTTAGTATCTTCACATTCCACCTGAGATGAACCATCGACTTCTGTAAGCAAACCAATATTTCCACTAAAACTCATCGCAATTTCACTCTATTGTCTTGAAATAGAAAAGTTCTCTTTCCAACGACTTA